AGACTGGTACAACAATTGCTGCAGTTACATATAAAGTATGTTATGAAATAATTCTAATAAAAAAAATGAATTCAATTTTAATTTAAAAAAAAAGGATGGTGTTGTTATTGCTGCTGATAGTCGATGTACAGCAGGAAATATAATATTTGATGATAATGTATTAAAAATTCATCGGTTATCAGATAATATTTATGCACTTGGTGCCGGAACATCAGCTGATTGTGATTTTCAAACACGTTTACTTGAATCTCAACTTGAATTACTTAAATTAAATCAAGATCGACAAGTTCGTGTTGCAACAGCTGTTAGAAAAATTCAACAACATTTATTCAGGTTTCATTGTTTTTTTTTTGTCCGTTTTGATTTAAATTAATTTATTGATAATATTTTAATAATAGATATCAAGGTTATTTAGGTGCTTATTTAATTATTGTTGGTGTAGATGTAACTGGTTCTCATATAGCAACAGTTCATCCTCATGGAAGCATCGCATTTTTACCTTTTGTTGCTTCAGGTTAAATTCTTTGGTTTTTGTTTTAATGTTTTTAATCTTTATGTCAAATTTAGGTTCGGGTGGATATACATCATTATCTGTTATTGAAGATCGTTTTAAAGAAAACATGACTGTAAATTTTATTTTTAATTATTTTTATTTCAAATGAATTTTTTTTATTTTAAAGGAAGATGAAGCAAAACAATTAATACGTGATGCATTATATGCATCAACTACAACTGATTTATATTCAGGAAGTAAAATAAATATGTTTGTATTAACAAAAGAAAAATTAGATAAATTTTTACCATATGAAATTGTTGCTGTTCGCACGGACAAGTAAAATTTCTTCAAGTTTTTATTTTAATTTATAATTATATTTTGTTTTTCTAGACAAGCTGATTATACATTAGCTAAAGGAACAACTGAAGTATTATCAACAAATGTAAAAAAGATTGAATTTGACATAGTTAATGAAAAAGTCAAATCAACAACAGGATCGAATGAAGCTATGGAACTTGCTTAATCATTTTAATTCAATTAAACAAGAAACTTTTTCAACTTTTTCTTTTTTTGTTTACTTTCAAAATCATTGTTACATCTTAAACACCATTAAAAAAAAATCTTCTTTTTCTTTTAAAAATTAAATTCTGTCTTTGATTGTCATCTTAATATTGTTTATCATCATTCAGAACTTTTTCATATGATGAAAATCATTCTTCTTCAAAGAATTTCCATTTTGTTTATTTCGACAAAGAGTACACAACAACATACGTATGATAAACTAGCAACAAATTGGAATTATTAAGAAAAATTCTATCAAATACGTAAATAGTGGAAGTTGACATGGAAATTCACATTGTCTTTAGTCTTTACCAGATATATTTCATATAATAAAAATTAAAGAGAGAGGAGTATCACGAACGAGAAAAATCAATTTATCTTGACAACACTATGTTGATTGAAAGAATCTAAAATGATCATGTCAACAAATTATCCCATAAATAATCAGCTAATAGTAAATTCAAATTTGTACAGATCATTATAGAATGAATGATAAAAGTTAAAAAATACTACTGCAACAGTGCACATTGAATGTCGATAATGTACAGCTAAAATTCATTTTTACATATTCTTTTGAACGAGTACAACTTCTCTTTTCGTGCCAGTTCATCTTGAGAAATTCATTTTACTATGAAATATATATATATATATTTGGTATTGAGTTACAATCGGTTGGATTAGAAAAATCTTTGTAATATAAAGAGTATTTAGAAATGAAGTATATATCTTCTGGATTTAATTGGGTCATTTCATTCATCTTATTACTATTAACTATTTGTATATGCTTTATTGAGTAACTTGAATATTAACATTGATAATTACCGGTATAAGAAAGTTGTTTTAAGGGCTCTCTCGCAAAAATCGATCTCAGCCTAAGTATATTCAAATCGCATGAAATTTTCAGAGTGCGTTGATGTTGGTGTGGGGAGGCTATGGTAAAATTTTTAGTCCTATACCATCACTTTTGAGGGAGATATTGACCAAACAAGGGTCGAAAATAGCTCATTTGGCAAACCGAATTTCTCTGTCCAGACATATTGTATATATTTTATTTTTTTTTGTTTGAAAGAATATGTCAGGATCCAAGGCTTACAAGAGCCATTTTTTTTAAATTCTTACTTTTTAAGCGGAAAAAAGGATTACAAGTCCAAAGTAACTTTTTTTGAGGGGAGGGAGGCCTTAATTTCTTTTTCATTTTTGGAATATATTTTAAATAAAGCATTAGCTAGTTAACAATTATGCAAGTGGAAAAAAGTGATATAAGTATGTTGGTGAAGGTGCGACTCTTGTTTTCGTCCATAGACACCCTCAACTATATCCTAAGAGAGAAAAAGCATCCTTCTGTACTTCATACTTGTTCGTAGGTCTTTGTATTTCTCAATATTTCTTCGGACTTCTTCATATGCAAGAGAAAAAAGCATAGTTCGTGCTTCTAGTATCTGTTGATAATTTTTCATACTTCTTCAAATCAATGTTTCATCCAGCTGGGTGAACAATGTTCCTCAAGAAATCGAGTTCCTTTTCTCTGAATTCGAAATCATTTTGGTGTGTATTATGTGTTTGCCCTCTTGAAATTAGATGTTCATTCTTTCGAAGTTTGAATCGTCACACTGAAAGAAAAAAAACCTGAATTAAATACTGTTCCACACTTCTTCGAATGTCGTCATGCTTCTTTATGTACCTATATACTCTTTTGATTGTTTTCTTAATTATCTTTTGTACAATGATTACAATGATCTTACAGAAAATACTTCATTTTTTCTCTACATTCCTTGATATTTCTCAGATTATCCAAGTAGTTCTTGATAATTCTCGATACTTCTTCGTATTTCTGTACTTCTGTGTATTTCAGAAGTACATAAGTATGCTTTTCCCTCTGCTACATCTACACCCTTCCTGCGCAATTCAGTTTAACCCATCACCAAAAACTTAAACCTCATTTCTATATTCATTTTACATTAAAATCAATTTTCTACGCTTATTTCATGTAGATAATAAATATAGAAATCTAACTTAAAAAGTAAATTATTGATTAATTTTACTATATCAAGATCATCTGATTACATTTACTAATGAAAAAGAATTGAACCAGATAAGTAGAATGATTGATGTTAATTGTATCAGTAGTATCATTCTGGTTTTATTCATATCTATCTTCCAAAAATTATATCATTATTCATTTCATAGCAATGCTACATATATACATATCAATACTTTTTTTATCTCTTCAAGTAGTGACTCACTTCAAGTAATTTAAGTAGATTTTTAATGAAGAACAAAAACGACTATAGTTCAATAAGTACCAAATAAATATATTCTAGCACATAAAACATGCATCATGTTATATATTTTATGTATAAAAATACGGGATGGTGCAAACGTAAATTTACCGAAAAAAATTGAATATATTCATTGTGGCTCGAGCAAACAAGCTGATTGTTTTTACTAATAACAGAGACATATTGAAATTTGATATCCATATAGACATGGCTAGAGAGATCCTCTCTTAATTATTTTGTTTTTTTTCCTTTATATGAAAAAGTAAAATGTTTTTATTTAGCTCGGTAGTAGTGCTTAACAAAGAGTCTCGTTAGGCATATCTTTATGGATATAAAACTTGAACATGTCTCTTGAATTGACAAAAAAATCAGCTCATTTAATTGAGTCGTAATTGCGATATTGAATTTTTTTTGTATGATGACTTTTGGACCATCCTGTATTTGTTCTTCGTCAACATCAGTATATTTTTTCCAAAATATTTCCTTGAACAAATCAAAAGTTGTGTTGATTCATGTTGAAAAGATTTACATTATTTTTAGAAAATATTTTTTTTCTACCTTCATATTTCATGCAAGTCCTTCTAAAAATTTAACTTTATAAAAATACACCGTAGGAATATACGCATAAATATATTTTTAATAAACTTATAGATTTATAAAAAATATATAACTCGTATGATAAACAGAGTTTTCTTTAGTACGATGTGTATATACAATAAATCATCCTTAGAAGAATTTCTATTAATGCAATCGTATAATAACATATAAAACCTATCTATACTATTATGCACATAGTCAGTTATGGAACAATTTAGGTTTTCCATAGATTGTTGCATAATGTTAAGTGGTTATCTGGCAATCATTGTATATTTAGTAACTCATTTTCAATAAATAAAGTTTTTCAACTTAATGTTTAACAGAATTTCATACAAGTGGAACCTAGATTAAGATTGATGTAAGTAAATTTCAATGAATTCTCTGATGAGAAATGATTACACATAGACATGAAAAAATATATTAAATTTAATGTTTTTTGATAAGTTTGTTGATAAATTGTTGTATGAATCCATTAATTTGATTGTAAACGAGATTTTCGTCGATCTCATAGAAGTAGCCTAAGATTGTGAATTTATTTACACTTCACAATCAAAAAAGTTGTTTTGTTTTTATTATCATGTATTATTTTGTTTTTTCTTTTTTTTTTTTTTACAATAGATTGATTGAGAAAAAAAACCCTAAATAATTAGTAACTGGTTTTAAGCTTTGATAAGAATGAATAGAATATCTTATTATAAACGAGATAATGGCGTTGAAGAAAACTCATTTTAAACGTAACGTGATTATTAATAGATAAACACTGAATGATCTCTATTTTTAGTCTTTTTTTAAAGCTAATAAATTATTTCTAAAAGGAATTTTTTTTATTCCCATTGACCTTATCTCTTTAAACCTTTTTCTTCGCAACATCTTTTTTACATTTAATATAAGATGTGTTTCATGACGTTTTTCGTATTTACTTGTTAGTATTCATCTTGTTTCATTAAAAAAATGACATATTTATTAGTCTCATTAAATCTTATTCTGATGTGTCAGATTCTAACAATGTACTGTCATCTTTTCTTTTCTTAAATGAATGTAAGATTTTTCAAACATAAAAATTATCGATGGATGCTGACAATACGGCTACATTATTACATATCTCACAAGAATTATATGGTTGGGGTAGTTTGATTATATTTTTTATTGGTACCTTTGGCAATATACTTGATATTATATCATTTATTCGTCTTGAAAGTCTTAATACATTAGCTAGTTCTTTATTTCTTTTGGCTTCTTTTATTGGCAGTCAGTGTGTTATGTTAACAGCAACTCTTTTACGAGTCATTTTTGGTTTAACAGGATACGATCCATTATTTTCTTCATTATTTCTTTGTAAAGCTCGTTGGATGGTAGGTCCAGCAAGTGGTGCTTTTTCACTTACTTGCGTTTGTTTAGCCGCTGTTGATCGATATATTTTGATACGATCTCAATATCGTACGAAGATCACATTGAATCAAGCTCGTTTAGCTATTATACTTGCTGCAATTTTTTGGTTAGGATTTTTCTCAATCTATGCTGTTTTCTTTGTTGCACCAACACCAAATTCTTGTCGATTGGTTAATCCTATAATGAGTCAGCTAATGCCTTTCATTAGTTTTTTTGTCTACAGTGTCATTCCCATAGTAGTACTTTCTGTCCTTTGTCGTCTAATTTGGCATACTCTTGGCCAATTACCTGTTACCTATATACATGGCGGTAATCGTTTACACGATCAAGTAACACGTATGATTATTGCACAAATTATTATTGTTATCATCACCAGTTTACCAAGTGCTGTTTATTCTGTTTATACGATTTCTACAAGAACAGTAACCAGAAGTCCATGGCGTTCAGCAATAGAAACATTAGTCAATACAGTATGCGTCTTAATCGGTTTTCTTACACATGCAATTATGTTTTATGTTTATCTGATTGCCTCAACAACTTTTCATAAAAATGTAAAGACTATGTTTTATGTTGGATTTCAACGTATTGCACCGGCAGTTGCACGATTGTGTACCAATACGCAAGTGATTGTTCCTGCAGTTTAAAAACTGATTAAACTGTTTTTTTTTGAATGAATTTTAACACATAAATAAAATTTATCTTATGAATCTTTGGATTAATAAGTACATGTTTCATAATTTGAAATGAGAGCAATCTTCCATACCTAAATATTAATTACTTAGCTATGCGCACATAATAAGGCATCATATCTATAATGAACAGCAGGATAAACAGTTATAATAACACGCCTTGCATTTAGAAAGTATACATATTTAACAAAAGGAAAGCAAATTGATTTCTACTACTAGAAATCATTAGAAATCACTATAATGCATTAAAGATGTATGAAAAACAGCTGGAAGTGGTTAGAAATTATGAAAAATCATCAGAAACTATTGAAAAATATTGAAAACCATCAGTAATAAGGTTAAAAGTGAAGTTTTGATTTTTCATGATTTTTTTTATTTAATTTTTTTGTTTTTCGATGATTTCCGCTATTGTTAATGTTTATTCTTGAATTTTAATGATTTCTTGTGATGGTTAGTCAATAGATAAAACTGATTTTCGTTCATAGGAATAGCTAGAGATTGCCAGAAAACAAGGGAAAAATGGCAGACTCCAATCCTTTGGAGTCCGACGGAGTCTCTCGAAGTCACTTGGAATTCTTTGAAGTCTCATGAAATCCTCTTTAGCTCTGCAAAGTTTCGCCATAAAAATCAAAATCTTCTGTGCCTTTATTTTTTCCGTCAATCATGACATCAGATAACATTTATATTAGCTTCAATATTGAGGCGAGCGCTGACTATTTTTTTATTATCTACATGAGGTACACTCACTGATTCTACAACTTTTAATTAAACAAAATGCTGCTTATTGAAAAAGAAAAGCAAAATAGTATCACATAAAGAAAAAAAGATGAATTTTTTTTGATGAATCTGTATTACTCGAGGTAATCGATCGTCTGAAAGTTTACTTTGTTCGCCAGTTAATAATTAACAGGCCAGGCTATTTCCGCAAATATTTTGTATCGTGATTAATTGAGATTTTAAAATAAGAATGTTAAAAAAAGATCTTAATACGGAATGACCTTCAATTTTTTTTTATAAATCCACCTCAAAAAGCATGTATACAATGAAATACCGTTGAGATAATGAATAATCTCTTTACAATAAATCTTGCTACACCATCAAAATGTATATAACTCAGCTCTGAAAAACTTTTTTTTTCGAATTGGGCCATGTGTTACAGAATCTGCATGATGTGAACTTTTTACACCTGCTTTCAGATATTGTGTAAGATTTTCTGCAGAAATTACAGATATTTTTAAGTGCTAAAATACAACTTTTTGAGGGATTATCGAGATTTATTTTTTTCGCGGGATTTATTCATTTACCGAGGATTTATCACGATTTACGGATTATGATGATATTTCGGCATACCTATAGTCAAATACCCTGGTCCACAGCCGTAAACAAACACCCAGACTCATACCCTAACTTTTTAGTGAAAAACTGTAGAAGATTGAATAACATATGATTTTTCAAGGAACTGTTCATGGCATAATTTAGTGTAAGGGCTACTTGTTTTTTCTTGAATCTAGCGCAGTTATAAATTTGCTCGGAAAATTGTCCATTTCGTTGTGTAAAAATTCATTGTTTAGTACTATGTAAAAATCCTCTGTTGCTGTGAGATAAAAAACACCAAACTATTTTTAAAAAAAGACGCAAAAATATTGCTTCATGCAGAGCTTAAAATACACGTGTTGGTTGAAAAAATATTTTTTCTAACTGAGCAATATGCATTTTAAAGTTGTGTCAAGGCTTAGTGTTCAGAGGTTATGAATGAACTAAAACACAATTAAGGATATTGTTGGTAGGAAACTGTATCGAGCATTTATGCACAAAAAACCGTTTTCCTGTTTTTCTCAACCTCGGGAACAAAATTTTTGATTATTTTCAATTTTGAAAATGAAAATTTCCATTTTCAACTTTTTTGTCTGGTAAGCCTAACTAAGATCTTTAAAATATATCATTCGCTGTGGCTGCATTATCGATACAATATGCTAAAGATAAAAACGAATTTGAAATGATGTTTCGATTTCTGAATCACAACTATCGATTATAAGTACATTTAAAACTGATGATTTTATGATTAAACTAAACCATAGCTTTAGTGTGCCAAAGAAATCAATTCGATAATATTCTTTAATCAATATTCCACTTTCAATTGCTGTAAATATGCATTTAGTACAATCTTCACTTGATGCAGCAAAATTAGCAAATAAATGAGAAGAAATAAGGTTCACATGAGGAACATTGTCGAGTTTTGTGCCTTTCTTATTACTTTTTCGATCTTATTTTATCTGGAATCCTTTATTTATCGACTTGATATTTGCTAGAAAACTAGCTCACTTATTATTTTCTTAAATGTTTGAGTTGTTCAGTTACTGTTGTTTTGTTTATTTTCGTTGACTTCAATTTTTTCTTACATTATACCATTGATTATTAGCCAAATATATATGTTTCTGATAGTAATAAAATAGTCATGTTTCTTTTGAGTACAAACTTATTAAATAATCTATGTATAGTTTGTGCGAATGTCGACATGACTTTTCATTAATATTAGGCTTATTCCTTGTTTGCAATAAGAAATTGTGGACAGCCACATATTTGTTTAATACCGAGAACACCAGGACTCCATAGTAAATCGGAGTCCCGAAACTTGCCGTTTTCCCCTTGAAAAAACTGGTGTCACGTAGCGTAACTATGCGACATCGTTCGATCAAAAATAATTGTTGACACTGTGTTCGCATATAATTTCATTCAAAAAGCGGTCAAATCTGATTATGAATACATACAATTGATATGGAGCATTATCTCTTTTATGTAGAAATATTAACTTTGAGAACTGGTTAGCATCTATTTTTCATATATTTCCTTGCATCTGGCTACATTACATTCACTGATTCTTTCAGGCACCAGTACTGGCACGAGAAAAATTTTTCAAATATTGTACTTATTTTTCTTCTATCATATGTACTATAGTATCGATTTAAACACCAAATAAGCGACTGAAACTATTCGTCGGGAAACATTTCAACCGGATAAATGTTTTCAGCTAGTCTTGTAAGCAATATTGGTCGGTTCCTTCTTCATGGTACTTTATTCTAAAGGAACTTAACCTTTCTCTTGCGTGAAGCCTAAAATAACATGTTACACACTGATCATGCTAGAAAACGATCCAAAATCTATTAAGATTTCGTTGTTTTTGACATAAGTAAGCGCATATTGGATATACGCTAATATTCGAGGTTTAATATGACTCTCAGCAAATTGTCGACAGCATGCCTAACAAATACTATTATGCGACGCATCTGCGAGCCCGACGAAAAGAAAAAAACATTTTGTTCGAAAAGTTTTTGTTCAAATTTGATCACCAGTCTGTAAGAAATCGAGCATGCGCTAGTATTGGTGATGAAAGACTTCGACATTAAACGGAGATTAAGATGTTCCTTCTAGTTTAGCTATCTTAGAACATCTGTCCGGATAGCAGAAGGTGCGCAGTTCGAATTTCAGGAAGGATATTGTTTTCTCTAGTCTACCCATATATCTCTCTGGAAAAACACAGTTGGACCCAATATTTTCAACAGATCATTTGTATAAGTCAACGTTTTGAGAGAAGTAATTATATATTCGGGTAGCACGCGTAATTCTTTACAATCCTATATATGTACGTTTTGAATTGCACTTGCTCACTAAAATAGAAATCCAAATGCAGTTTAGGCACTATCATCGTCAGATCCTTCAGGAATGCATTTTTGTTACTTTTTCATTCATTTTTTCAAAGTTTTTTAAAATATAGGATCAAGTTATTACGAAAATAAGTATATAATCTGGAAGCGCATGTAAATCTCTATGACTCAGTACTTTACCAATTTTGACTTTCAATTGTTTGATGATAAATATTTCGAATTTTGTTAAGACACTCACGCATCACAATTGTTGTTGAGAATTTGGACGATATCTTTGTACACAGGGATTCATCCAAGACAAAAAATCTCAGTATAACATTAAGATCAGGTTGACAGATGAATAGTTATCCATACATCCTATTTGATTACTAGATAATCATTCGCGGGCTACTGTATGAGTTATATGGGACAATGGGAAGTAAGGGTATACTAACAACATTTGAAATATTTATCATCAAACAATTGAAAGTCAAGACTGGTAAAGTACGGAGCGATAAAGATTTTCATGTGCTGTCAGATTATATAAGGTTGTAGAGAATTTCACGTACTATTCGAATATATAATTACTTTTCTCAAAACATTGATTCATAGTAATGATATGTTAAAAATTATCGAGTCTAATTATTTTTTTCCAGGGAAATATATGTATCTTTACGTTGCAGTTTCTTATGACTCACATATAATGCTTATAGCAAGATACCAAGATATGTGATACCATACTGAACAACATCTACTAATTTTTGTGACATCACTGTTTTATAGAAACTGGTAGATTCCCACTATAATCTTAATGAAAGTTTCTGTATTGAAAATAGAACATTAGTTCCTTTGATGAATGATGAATAATAAAAACTGACACTTTTTAAAACGAACAATTAATTCAATAATAAGTAATATAATCCATGTTGTCCACTGGACCAACGGAGACTCTATTCCGCGCCATGATGTCGAATTTCGCTGGCTCTTTCATTTCATCATCCAGTGTATGAAGCGTTTCCTTGATTGATGAGCCATCTGACAACTTTATCTCATCGATTTTCTACAATATCTCAATTATACATGTCGAAAAAAAAACTTTCAACAAACCATATCGATGCTATTGGCTCTATTCTTGGCGAAGTAATCGAACCGCTTTCTCAATCGCTTCGGCAAACAACAACAACATATTTTGTTTATCCCGATTAATAAGTTGGGATCGATGTCTTGTGACTTCATAGGATGAGTGAGGTAGGACACAACCAGGCCGACAAGCCATACAGTGAGGACAGCGATCACCATGTACCACATGTAGCTTACGGAGTAAAGACCAAGTAGAGGATCGCGTCTACAAAAGAGTGAGAATGGCGATAGTTTGAATATTAGTGTAGGCGAAACAATAAAAAAGCAAGACTATGAATATGAAGCAAGAAATATAAAAATCTAAGGTATCATTTTAGTCACAACCTATGCCTCAAATCTTCTTTCAGATCAGAAAATAGGTGAGAATGAGTTGTACATATCACAATTGGATTAGGGTTAAAGATACGCAAAAATATTAAAGTACTTAGAAACTTCTAGATCAATACTTCAAACCAAGTTACATTTGACTTTAATTGAGCTTCCATAAGACCATCAAGAATTTACATGACATGATCAAATTTCAGATTAAAATCTTGAGTATATCCATTCCATAGACTATAGTAAGATACCGTTCTAATCAAAATTTTACACTACATATGTAACTATCTTCTCGCACAGATATCAGATTTTCATGAAAGAAAAGACTTTTTCAAGGTTCTAACAAACATCTGCCAAACGATCTTTCTCATCAGCAGAAATCCTGACAAAAAAGACACTATTTTCATATCACCAAAAAAGTCATGATTGTTGTCAAAAAAATTCATTGAAAAGAAATTCATACTGATTTCACCAACGACTTCTGCCTAGTTATTAAAAAATTCTTTACAAAATATACTAATAAAATGTGTAGCATAGAGAGTTGAATACTGAGCTTAATTCAATCTTATATCACGAAACTTGCTTTTTTGCATTTTTCTGCGTTTGCGATTTTGAAATTTTTAGTTTTCTAAATGTCATTGACAGAGATGAACAATACATCATATGCTTTAGTTTTCTTTGTTTCTCCAAATTAGACATTAGAAAAAAGACATTCGTAAACTTGGCAAGAACAAGACGAAATAGGACTCGTCGAATTTCTTAGAACCTTGAAAAAGTCTTTTCTTTCATGAAAACCTGATATCTCAGTGAGAAAATAGTTACCTATGTGGTCTAAAATATTGATTAGAATGGTGTCTTAGTATGACCTATGGAATGGAGATGGTTAAGATTTCAAAATGAAATTTGATCATGATATATCTCATTGGTTGGATACTCGATTAACTCGTGTACAATTATCTTGTCGACTCCATCAGAGCATATGCAATCAAATTTGCGCATTGAAAAAAAACCATGGTTTTTAACTTGACTATATTTTTCTCAAGTTGCGAAGCTCTTCTATAGATTAGTTTTCGATAAGTACCGAAGGACGTTTGAATCGAACTTCACTTTGATATCATGCTTACTTGATCGGGAGAACATTCGTCGTTGTGCTCACTACTGCAAGACTGGTTGAATTGAGGTGCGTGCATTTTGCTACTGATAGTGGCAATTGAATACTACTTCTTTGATTCCTTGTGAATTGTGCTCCAAAAAAGATCCACAACTGCAGGGCTAAACTGGTGAATAGTCCAACTAATGCGCCGTGTCGATTGGCTTGTGGAAATAAAAACCCAAGAAGAAAAACACCCATGATAGGTCCGGAGAGAACGCCTGCCAGCGACACAGCAGCATTGATGACTGAACCCAAATAGCTCACCACGAAAGTAAGAACTATTACGAGGGCACCGAGTGTTACCGAACAGATTTTTGACGCGAGTCCTTGACGTTGATCGGTTAGTTCTCGTCGCAATATTCCCTTATATATGTCTTCGAGGAACACTGCTGAGAGGCTATTAAGTCCGGTCGAAATAGTCGACAGCGAACCCGAAAAAATGCAGGCAAGAAAAATACCCGGCAAACCTTTTTTGGTACCCAATGTTTCCATAACAAAATATGGAAATAGTTGATCTGGGTTACGCACGAGTCCAGATGTGTACGGATCACAATCAACGTAGTATGCATATATAATGAGACCTATGAGACCCGAAAGAAGCATAAAAATGAAGACACCAGCGGCATTGATAAAAATAGCTTGTCGAGCGGCTCGCACCGTGCGAACACATAGATATCGTTGCACTAAAGTTTGACTGAAACCGTAGTCAGCTAAAGCATTAAATGTGCTGCCGATCACCACTCCCCAAATTGTATGACGAGTGCGAGGATCGAAGCTCACACTACATAGGCGAGAATAGATTGACATTCAATAGAGATAGTCTGATAAATTGTGGACTTACTTGTCAAACTCAATACGACCCCCCTTGTCAGCAATGGTAAATACTCGCTTGAAGCCACCAACCAGGATTAGACCTGACACAAACATTAGATAGTAGAAAAATCAAAGTCCTTTGTAGACGCTGGATTCTCATTAGAGATCTCTCAAATAATCGATTTTCGTTTCCTGACATCATAGTTTTCAATAAGATGAAAGCTATGGTTCTAGCTCTTATTAAATTTGGATAATGTCTTAGGAATTTTCTCATCTGAATATCTGCAAAAAGTGCAGGATAATCTGGCTCCTTAGATATCTCTGTCATTTGGCAGGCTATTTGTGAGTGAATAACTCTATAAAATTTCAAATCTGACTGAATTCCTTCGTCCATATTTCAGTTACGAATACTAAATGCATCAATTATTTTTTTCTGCTATATTACAGATCCATTCTTCTTTTTATTGTAAACCTGATGCTCGAAACTGAACAAAATTTTGAAAGATCAAAGGGTAACGCCGGATTACCGATTGTTTCGGCATTTTGCAGAGCATGTAAATTCGAAGAATAGCTGAAAATGCGCTAATGATAGCTGAATTGGAGAAAGATACTGTTAGTCAGAAAACTTTCTAAAACCTTGTGAATCTATTCACAATGTCATACAGAACTACAGAGAATCAGATAGCTTGGGAAAATTCAGAAAAAAACATCTCATCGGATATAAAATATAAAAGCATGAGAAATTTACCTGATCTTTTTTTTAACAAAATGGTCATCCGAAAATAGAAAAATGAGAGCAAAGACCGAACGATAAACTGATTCTGCAGAGCTTGTTTCTTGTTCAGTCATTATGCTATTCTAGTAAATTTGAGTCCTACTGTCTTTTATTTTTGAAATTTATAGAGTATCGTAGGTGTATAATAGATAATCACAAAGAGTTCAAGAATATATTCACTTCAAAAGTGACTGAAATGAAAAACTTTTCTTTTGAACGGTACAGTTCGAAGTTTAGCATTTTAACTATTTAATAACATCAAAATCCTCTTAGAACTCATTTTGTCTATAAAAAGGATACTATCGAACTCCTTAAGCATCTGAAAATTACAACTAGCTTCATATCAAACTCGAGCATCTATGCGAAAAACATACACACCTTGAATGATGGCTGGTAGAAGACCACCAAGCATGACCACTGATTGCAGAACATCTGTCCAAATGACAGCTTTCAAACCACCCTATTTATTATTATAGTCATGATGTCTCTTAATGAAATATACAATAGGTACACTTACCACAGATGAGTAGAAGGTGCAAATGACACCAATTGAGACGACCGACACCCAAATGTTCAATCCAGTTGCTAAAAGTCTAAGCTAGAAAGAGGAGAGCATGTTTATTACCTTACATACTTTGACTGAGTGCTAGAGCTGGTGCGTAGAGCACAATAGCCATGTAGATGAGCTGCATATATAAACATCTGTAGATGAACAAGTAAGTCTCATTATACCTGATATGTCATGAAGGTGATCGAAGCAGTTAAGCGAACTTTCTTGTCGAAGCGTTTCTCTAAATACTGATCAGCATTTGTCATGAGTGATCAAGTTCTCGTTCAAATGTTTCATACTTCATAGATACTCGTCAAGCCCAGCTGTCGAAATCTAGGCATGAACACTATAGCCGATATTACACATCCGAGCGCCCATGAGACACCTAAAAATGAAGTAAGCGACGCTTGATCACAAGTCATAGTCTATATCATTCCACTCACCTCGATACAAATACATTGTTCCGTACATGTACATTTCACTGGGAGTACCCAGCAAAGTAATGGCAGACAAAAAGGAAACAGTTAGACTCAACGCCGTGGGTATCACACCCATAGTACCACTCGCTAAGACTCGCCGAAATAAATATATTTATTGAATGATATTTTTTTGCTTACCCAGAAGAAATTCTTTAGCCGAAGTCTTCTTCGATTTGAAAAAGCCAAAAAAAACACCAATGACAGCCGATGAGAGCAGTAACAATGCTAACACAACATAATCAACGACACTCAATTTTGGCAATTCCATTATTGTTCACAGCTACAAAAAACCGAATAAATCTGAAAAATAATATTTCTACTGAAGAGTGTAAAAGATGCACTGATTGTCTTATGAGACCTTTACGATATAAGCACGCAGACTTTTGCTTATTTGAGTGTAATAAAATAGAAAACATGCTTAATCCAAGAAAACAACAAAATGAACTTTACCCATAGTATTATTGTACGCGACGAACAATATGAAAGCATGTTTCGATGACATTTAGTATGAAAATGTTATCGTCTCACGAAAAACAGACCTTACAATCCTTTTTGATAAGGATATGTTAATTTTCTTTGGTTTTCTCATTGGAGCATCTTCAATCACCTAACTTATACTGAACATTTCTAAAGTTAAAACTTAAACGAAATCATCAGATTCCCCGACGGATAACAAGGAAAATTTGTTGATTGCAAGTTAAGATACTTCTTTTATTGTTTTTTAATTAGCAGATACGTGGTCTGTTTGAGCGCTAAATTTTACAGTCATCAATTAGTAAAGGTAAACTTCACAAAAAAAAATGTCATGGACCAATGAGATATTTCAATGCTGAATTCTCTTCAATATGGTCTTTCTAATATATCGATATCATCTCAATGAGAGTATATCATCTACTATATTTTTCTTCCCCAAATAATACTAATATTGCAATATCATGGCTGATGATTGCTGGTTCTCGATAAAACTTATTACAAACTAATTTAGATACAATTCAAAACATTAAAGTTGATGCAAAATCTCATACTCTATTTAATGACGTTAGAATCATGTTTACAAGCATCGTTCGTCCTCATGAAGTCAATAGATTCTACCTAGACAATTGTTATAATGACAAAATGAAATTAAAATGTATATGAAGAAGTATACAAATAATGATGCAAAAAGGTTACACATTAATCGTATAATATGACATAACCAATGTGTGTTGAGAGACTTCTGTTGCAATAGCTTTATGCATTCCCAAGAAAACAGCTGAAGATCATTGAGCGCAACCGAATCGAATATACAGCGTCCAAACCGGTTCGAATTCGAATGAGTATTTTTCTATTTGTTTCAGTCTCTGTTAAAGGAATCCATGAATGGTGCATCCGAGACAGTTGTTCCCGCGACACTTGCTCCCAATGACACTTGCTTCCCAATGACAGTTGCTTCCTGAACACTTGTTCTCCAATGAAACTTGCTCCCCAGCGATAGTTGCTTCCGGACATTTGTTCCCAAATATCGCTTGATGTTGAGCAACGTCTTTTTTGTTGACAAGTTAAAGATAATTGTTAAAGACTTAAAAACGAGGTGTAGGTGTGGATTTGGGTTAGGAATGTCAGGATTTCTCGTTTCATAAGGTTCCATTTCCAAGGAACGGAACTCACTTGAAGATTCATTTTCGTGCTTTTCTGATTACATTAAGACTTTTGGACGTACTTATTCTTTCAATCTGTATCAAGGCGATATGGATTCTCGGTTCCTAGGAACGGAACCCACGCAGAGTTCCGAGTTCTGGGAACTTCGGAATCGACTTGAAAGTTTGTTTCCATGCATTTCTGATTATGTTGAAACATTTGGACACACTTATTCTTTCAATTTGTATCAAATCGGTATGGGTTTTCAGGTTTATAGGAATGGAACCTCTACCGGATGCCAGATTTATGGGAAAGGAACGCGGAACCCGCAACTGGATCCGTGTTCCTGTACCTAAGAATGCAGATTCTGAACGGGTTTTTAAGTATGGAAACTCACACCGTGTTTCGGGTTCCTAGGAATGGGATCCAAACCAAATTCTGGATTCCTGGGAACGAAACTCGTACCGAGTTACTGGTTCTAGGAACTATGGTATGTCCGTAAATATCTTGAATCATAGGTAGAATCTTTCTAAACTGTCTGCAATATGAAATACGAGACGTACTATCAACCAAATGGCGAAGTAACGCTAAAAGACGACTAAATATGCACTTAAAGGTGAAGGCAAAACAGAAAAACAGAAAGATAAATTTTACACAGTGAATAAATGTCTTATAGAGCTATTGAAACGTAAGACAAAGAACAAGAATTGAATAATGGTTTGTCAATATCATAATAGAGTTCGCAGTAGCAGAATATTTTTTTATGATGCGATATCAACTCGATTAAATGTGTAGCAATAATGTTCTTTCTTCAAATATCATAAAGTAGAAAAATCAATTGTTATTTGCGCCGTATATATCTAAAATTCTCTAAAACACTCAAGTAGACAATAAAAAAGCATACGATGGATGCGATGAGTGCTCGAAAATGTGAAATATATATGTTTTTGTTCGTTCTGCTTTGATTTCGAGCCTATCGATAGCCATAAAATTTCAAGTACTCGAAAATTGTCCTATAAGAGACCTATATTCGACTCCTCAAGGATTTTTTGATACGTCGATACTTATCGAAGTTTCGAATAATCGATCCAAACAAATATATTAGAAGAACTGTATCGAATGCTTCAGTAGAAACAAGCCGAGCATAAAAGCAGTTTCAAGTGTTTAAGTTAATTTTGACTCTGTAAAATTTCTTTAAAAAGAGCTTTGCAAATGTCTCCTTCGTTAGGCTACCTTAGAAGAGTGATCTATAGTGCACGAATTTGGTCCTTAATTTCATAACTTTCTAGAAAGTAATTGACATAAAATTATGGAAAACAACAAGTAAGAAGAAAATCTAAAGTGACATTATAGAAAACAAAATCTTAACGAATATTGTTACGAATCTTTGAAAAAAAATTTAAATCTTGATTTTATACCTTATTCCAAAACTTAATTATTTATCGAATGCTATATTCATCAATTAAATTCCTTATACGGTATCTGAAACTCGCAAAAAAGCCAATTGGTTAGTTAGGGCGGTGAAAAATGTACTTTTTTTCAATTAAATCTTTTTTACTGATTCTTGAAAACTGTTAGCAAATGTTAAAATTCAAAGTACTGTTAGGGGTGATGAATTTATATTTAGGAAAATTTATCAAATACAAAAAAAAATCTGAAAAAATTTAAATTCAACTTAAATTCATTAAGATTGGGTATTTAAATTAAAAAAAGAATTCGATTTCGTAAATTTAAATTTAAAATAAATTTACAGGAAAATGGCATCGCTAAGTACTATCTGTTTAAGAATTGAAAAGATAATTTTCATAGAAGAAAAATAGTTTATATTTAGTTTAGATGTTCGACGACTGTTTATCGTAAGTACCTATGTTCTAATCTCCTTCTTCGCATTTATTCAATAGATTTCGATGAGTAGAGACTGACACATCTATCAAAAAATTCTTTTTATTTTGATTTTCTCGGTTAAAATTATTCGACAGGTCGAAAACACTATACTTTACTGACTCATCGCCGAGCGCTCGACCTATCGGACAGTGAGAATCTGAGCACTCTGTTTTAAATTTCGATATACACGACAACCTCAAATCAACGCGTCGAAATGCCTACCGGATGGTCGTTTGGATGATTTTGCAATATTACAAAATCCCGTTTTTCTAAAGAGATGTAATTTAGATGACACAATATATCAAATGAAGCAAGTGGGGACTCATGAAAGATTGTCACCCATAAATCTTTCGTGAGATGACTGCAATTAAGCTTCAAAATACTCACAAGAGATTACGTGCAAATAAGAGAAAATGATGTGAGAACGTAAAAAAAATCCTGGAAAGTCTTGCTTTAGTATGCATATAGTTTTACACTAATAAAAACTTCGAACATTATTGCTTAATAATCTCGAAAACAAAAATCTATTGCATTTTCCTGATCGTTCACACAAGCATTCGCAACTTACGGTAAATATGATCGATTGTGTTTCATATTTGATAAATACTTCCATGGTTATGTAACCAAAGTAGTTCTCAATAGTTTTTGAACTTGCAGTTATCAGCAGCAAATACATGAAAGGAATAATGAAAAACAATACAAAAAATGCAGCATAGTCAATATCAATATCACGTACTTGTATGAAAGTTGATTTCGATTCGAACATTGACCAAACTCTAATTCAAGAGTAGGGATGTCAGGGTTTCCGTTCCTTAGGAATGGAATCCTAACGAACGGGAACCCATTTGAGAATTCGTTTCCATGCGCTTTTGAGCAGCCAGGGATGTTTACACATACCTATTCTTTCCTTATGTAGCAAGTCACTATGGGTTCCTGGGTTCCTAGAAATGGGAACTCGAAACTCGGGGGTGGACTCCCGTTCTTAGGAACTCAGAGCTAGGGTTGGCATTTTGGCTGTAAAAATACTTTAATAAAATAGTTAAAGTTAAAGTAGAGATTTTTTCATTAAAACAAAGCTTTTTTAAGAAAGAATTGATTTGTTTATAAAGTTTGACCAAAGATACTCGGAATTGAGGAATCCGAATCTGTGATCGGTTTCCCGAAGTTTTGAGTTCGATTTTTTCGCAAAAAAAAGCTTATTTCTTAATAAGGTGTTTTTTTACAAAAAAAAATATACTTTTATGAAAAAATCAAGCTAAAAATTTCAAGAAACCAATTTCAGATTCGAACTCCCAGGTCCCAATTATCTTTGGTCAAACTTTATAAAAAATCGGTTCTTTCTCTAAAAAAGTTTTATTTTAATGAAAAAATCTCTACTTTAACTTTAACTACTTTATTAAAGTATTTTTACAGTCAAAATGCCAACCCTAGTTTAGAGCTCCTAGGAACGGAACTCGAAACTGACACTTCTATTCGAGGGTACCAAAAGCAGTCAATAACTGATGATATACACACAAATGATTCACGAACTGTTGGTAATGCAATAAAACTGATTATCCAGACCAATATCATTAGGTGAGATGGCGTCGAGCGTGCATGAAATTCGATGGCATACTTTTTGCCATAATTCAACTACTTTAAAAAACGTTCCACTCATATTCAATTGCGAGATTCACTAGGCTTTGATCGAATTTATGTTGTGAGAGAGAGAGAGAATGACTTCGTCATCGTCACTCCCACATCAACCTACTGCACACCTCAGACCTGCCAAACAGCCAAATCCACATGTTATAGAAATCTGCTGGAGAGTTAAAAATAATGGTTTCTTAAAAATTGAGTTTCCAAGAGAGAAAAGATAATAATTTATTAACGACATCTATCTTTATTTGTCAGAAGAGGCACAATGGAATCCATGGACTGGTTCTCTTCTGTATACCAATATGGAATAAAATGTCATAGAATTCAGTATAAGTTGATATTTTTTTCGAAATTAGTATTGAGCATTTATCAATAAGATAAATCAAACAAAACATAAATCAATTCAAAATAAGGTTATTCATCTATATGCTGAAATCTATTTTCGTTAGTTTAATTTTATAGTTGTTCATTTAACATTTTTATCATAAAAGTCAAGTGAAAATTTGTTTTTCATTCTAATTTTAGATAAAACATATTATATCAACATAAATTTACAAACTTTTTCAAATAAAAAGATATGAATTGACAAATTAGCAAAATGAAAGCTAAGAATTATTATCAAAATCATTTTGAAGTATTTATTTCCGAAAGAGCAACAGTTGTTTTTATTTAAATGAAATAGATTTAAGTAAGTGATGAAGTTGAATTTTGTCAAGTTGATTAATAAATTTTGAAGTTGAAGTAGAGATGGAGAAAAAAATGTGAAATTACTATTGATAATATATTTGAAATTTTTTGTTTATATTTCAACATCACATAATTATTTAATATTGTCTTCTCAGCTATGAACTATGATCTTAATCTAATTTGTTTTTCTTTTTTTTTTTCAAAATAAATTTTCATTATTTAAAGTATTGATGATGAGAAAAGATTTTGGTTTTTATTTGTTTTTACTGAACAATTTTATTCGAATCGTTTGAGAGTAATGATAATAATAAGAAAAGGGAAAATACTGATGTTCGAATCCAGGTCCTAGAAAAAAAAGGTGTGTCATATGATGAAACTGCATTGGGCACTGATGATAATGACGAATAACCATTTGAAATCACCAACCTACCTTCTGATGACACAAATTAAATATTTTCTTTTCTATTTAAATGAAATTTAACTAAAAAAATCAACAAATACTAATTTATAAATGATAAATATAGAAATGAATCATCAATAAATTTGATTCGAATTAGTATTTATTTGTCAAATGTGCAACCTATCATTCAATTCTTCTTTGTATTACTTAACATTTTATATTAGTTGTTCTTTTTGTTTTCGTAGACAAAAGAATATCTTTATGATTTGCTATTACCTGTAATCAAATACTTAGATTTAATGTTGATAAAGTAATCTGATCATACTTCAATTTGTTTTTGACGAGCAAAATTTTTCTAAGAGAATAAATTTAATTTTCCTTTTTAATACCAATATACAATTCCTATATTGTCTATTTACTAATAATATATAGGCCGATCATTTTTTAGATGAAAGAAAAAGAATTTATTCGTTTATGTAGACAAATACAAAAAAGTCAATAGAAAAGACTTTTAAAAAATGACGTCATGATACCACTATTTTTAGAATTTCCGAAAAAGATTATTAGAATAAAATTGAACTATTTATTTTAGATAAAAACACATCTAATTAATAATAATGTAATATTTATCAATAATCTTCTAACAATCAATGTCTCGTTCATCAATTGGACGTTGGTTTATTCGTTCATGTCATTTACATTGTAGAAGTTTTATTAAATGTATTATATGTATAATAATAGTTTATCTATTAAATGCAATACTTGGTGTTCAATATTATATATGGTCAGAAAGATCATTTGAGAATGAATATCATTTAAGCATGACACAGATTGATATTAGAAAAATCGATGAAGATAATCCAGAAGATATTTTAGGTTTACCAAAATATATTATTTCAAATAGATTTATAATTAATAATGAATATTTATGTAATCATGGAAATTCAGTAACAATTATTCAACCACATTTATTGATCTTAGTTAAATCAGCAGTTGAGAATTGGAAAGCAAGACAAGCTATTCGAATGACATGGGCAAAGAATGATTTTTTAGAAAAACATTTTATTAAATTAGCGTTTGTTTTAGGTAAATTTTGTTAAAAAATATGTTTTTTTTTTAATTTTTCTATAAAAATAATTTATATTTATCAAATCTAAAGGTACTATTAGATCACAAAAATTTTCTTCAAGTAAGAAATACTTTATCGAGTTGCCGCATGTTTATATCAATTTTTTTTTTTCATATATATTTATATCTGCATGATTATTTTTTATTTTATTGAGATAATTCTTTTATTCTAATTTCTATCATATTTATATTGATTATTTTAGGTGCAAATCAACAATATTTCAATGTGGAAAAAGAATCAAAACAATATAAAGATATTATTCAAATTGATAAAATTGATTTTTATTATCATAACTCATGTAAGTTTTATTTTAATTAAGAACATTCATATAAAAATCAATGCGTTTTCTTAACTATCGATCATATTGATCTAGTACTATTATCACTATATCAGAGTATAGAACTACTTAGGATAGTTTTTTTTAAATTACCATATTCCTGACTGTTTCAGGATTAAATTTTTTTAGGAATCAGATTAAGACTAATGGATAAGAGCAGCGTCGAAAATAGTAATCAATGTTCGACTTGATAAAGTAACGACTGTGGTAGAATAAATGCCACCCCCCTGTATTTTGTCTCTGACTTCTTTTTCATTTCATCCAAAAAACATGATTTTATCATAGAAAGATGCATCGTGAAATTCTCTATAAAGTGGCCTATTTAATCTTGGCTAAATACTGTTCATCGTAGTTTAAATTGAAATGGTTTCACTTGGAAAAATGATGAGTAGTTTCCCAAAATAGTTATTTTATAGTTTTTCTGAATATCAGTTTATTTATCATGTGTTAGTGACCTTTGTTGAAATAGCATGCTAATTACGATAATTACCGATTCAACTCAAATAGGGAAGTCTAGGCATCTCTCGAGCATTGGTAAACCAAAATTACTTCTCAACTAAAACAAACTATCAACGAAAGTTACTAACAAATGGTAAATAAACCGATATTCAGAAAAAAATTATAAAATAACTATTTTTGGAAAGTACTCATCATTTTTCCAAGTGAAACCATTTCAATTTAAACTACGATGAACAGTATTTAGCCAAGATTAAATAGGTCACTTTATAGAGAATTTCACGATGCATCTTTCTATGATAAAATCATGTTTTTTGGATGAAAGAAAAAAGAGCTAGAGATAAAACACTGAGGAGGCTATTCTTTCTGTCGCATCCATTATATGTAAAAAAAAATGCTTTAATCTCAAACAGTACATGAGATAGTCAACAAATTTAGAGGTCGGATTTATATTTGATACTATCTACTGATTATTTGAAAGTAAGCAAACCAAAGAGTAACAAGAGAATATGTTGAGGCTTTCATGAAGATGTCATGATAATATTTTCAGCCTTGCATCTTGACGTTTTCGCAAGATATTCAACAAACAAAGGTCAAAAATAGCTCATTTGCCAACCGTAAATTGTCTATAAGCCTTATTCTATATAGTAACTTTTTTGAAAGAGCATGTTACGATGCAGAGTATGATCGAACCCTTTTTTGAATTCTTAGTTTTTAAAAGTAGGTAAGAGATGAAAATTTCCATGTCTTAAAAAGATAGCATTCTAATTATAAAGGTATTCCATAATGTCCTGTATTTTGATATGCTTTTTCAAAAAACAAAACTCATTAGTTGCTATGAAGCATCCATCGAGAGTTTTGGGATGCATGATCAATAAAAACATAAAGCGAAAAAGATTTTTTGTTCTATCTTAAAATAAAAACCATATTTTCCATGCAAAAAAATGAGGAAAATTTTTAGAAATAAAAGATGTACTAAATAAAAAATCATGTTATTTATGAAAGATTAGACACCGGACTATCTGCTCATATATCTATCTCAATTTTCATGTTTTCCACTAACATTGACTTTTTTTTGAAGGGATGGGAAGCACAGATGTTCATCGCGACTGAGAATTTACCATTGTCGCATCGTGGCGATGATCAAAAAAGCTACCACACTGCGGCTGCGACGTGATGAACTGTAAAAAAAATTTGCCGCTGCCGCGATGGTATAAAAAAATGTTTCGATTTTTAAAGCTGTGGCTATTTTGAGCTATAACTGTCGCTGGCTAATCGATCAGATTTGCTAAATCTTAAAGTATTGCACATATGAACACCGAGAGACTGTGCAAAATCATGTATTTTGAAAATTTCTTTCTAAAAAAGCTACCTTCCGATAGGACGGCAGCAGCGTGACCATGGAGATCTCTGATGGGAAGTTTAAGTAAAACTTGTTAATTACTAATAATATAAATAAATCGAAAAAAAAATGATCAGTATTTCTATTCTTCTTTTTCACTCTTAAATTTGATTTATGAATTAAGGTCAAGTTTCTAATTGAAAGTTTTATGATAGAATCAAACAGTCTAAATTTTGTCTTACATTTTTAAAGTTAAACTAAATAATTTTCTCTCTATATAAAATCGACTAGAATATGATAATTGTATTTCCGATTGGATAGAACTAAAATGAATATTGACATATTTCTTACGATGAGAAAAATATCTTTTCAGAATAATTTTTTTAAAAATCAAATAATTATTTTCTACCTTTATAAAGAGTTAGGAAATATAATAGAAAAAATTTTTTATATAGATAAAATGGTAATGATGCTTCGTTGGATAAATGAATATTGTACATCTAAATCTTATCGTTCTCGATATAATGATCTTCGAAAATATGTTTTATTTGTTGATGATGATTATTATGTTGATTTAAATTCTTTATTAAAATATATAAATAAAATAGATGAAGATTCAAATATGACACCATATGAAAGACGAACATTTTTAACTGGTTATCTATATGAAGGTTCTCGTCCACGTCGATATTTAAATGATCGTTGGTATATATCAATAAATGATTATCCATATGATCATTATCCACCTTATGTAACAGCTGGATGTTTTTTAATGACAAGATCAAATGCACGATTATTTAATATAGCATCAAAATATACACCTTTATTTCGTTTTGATGATATTTATATCGGACTTTTAGCTTATTCAATGTCAATTAAATTAATTCGAAATAATAATTTATTTTCATCATATGGTTCATCAACAATTTTATTTTATAATCAAACAGGATTTTTTTCAAAATTAAAAAGTTTATTTATTAATCAAATTAATTTCAATTCAACAAATAAACCTATTTGTATTCATGGATATCGTGGAGAAGAATTAATTCAAATTTGGAATGACATCTATCAAACTAATCTAACACTTGCAATAATTAACTGATAAACAATAACTGGATTTTTTTTTCTTTCTCTTTTTGTCAGATCTGATTTTTTCTATATTTACATACAAATCATAAAAATCAAACAAAATATATTAAATAAGATAAATATTATTAAGGAGAATATCTCTTTTTTCTAGATGTTAATTAATCAAACAAAATGAAACACAATGATTTTCTTTGTGGAGTTATTGAAGGTTAGTTTAGAATATTATCTAAGTATCTTTCTACCATTTATTTCTTTGATATTCAAATGTAAAAGGCAAATTTTTCTTCAATATCTAAAATGTTCTATGAGTCTCATCATAGATTGTATTAAACACTGGAAATATTCATTTCTTAGTATGGAAAAGATAAGATAGTCTAACAAAATTCTATTAGATATGATTATATTTTCGAATGTAGATCACTCATTTTTTGGAACTAACATAGATTTTCGAAGAAAGTTAAAAGTTATTAATTGAAGTTTTGCAACTCCTCCCCCTTCCCATTATAGATCTTAGCCATACGATATTTTCTACAGGTATCCTCGGAAACTCTATTAAGTACCAGAACAGGAAATATTGCACGAATATATGTGACCATACAGGACTTCGCACCTAGTGTAGATGCCGCAGAGACACGTACATAAGCAACGACACCCGATATCTGCAATATTCTCTATGCTAGTACCTAATTGAGTTTCCGAGAACAATCGATTGAATACGTTTGCAAATGTTCTAAATAGTGAAGTTTTTTATTTTTACGTAGATAAATATTTATATTTAAGACATGAAGGATGATGGGTAGTCATGTATTGATTTGCCACAGTTGTCTTATAATCAACATTAAAAAACGTGAACTGATCAAGATATATAATAGTGCGTTGAGACTTGCTGTAAATTCGATATATATATGTATAACAAACTTATTTGCCAGTTAAATCAATAGTTAGAATAATAATAATGTTAAATTAACTCTCGAACATCCCCCTGTAGTATGAACGTTTATTCTATCCCAGTCTGATAAAACAGAAGCAATACTCCAAATTAATAATGTACTATTCAGGAGTTATTGGGAGTTCGCGATAGATTTCAGTGCGAGTACAAAGAGAAAAAACATAGGTGTGTACTCTGTATAGATCTATTCTCTTGGTTGTTTTATTATTATCCTTTTTTATTATCAAAACCTGTCACAACATGTATCACACAAAACTTTTTGGTGATTCGGACAACAATAAGCATGGCAAGTGATACAACGTGTGGCGACTAGGAAACTCTGGGTCCGAGTCCAAAGTTTTATTTTTTGTTGGGCCCGGTTACACGATTTTGTGGATTTTCTGCTCCTCGGATGAGGAATCTAGCAACAAGGTATAACTATACGTTCAGTTTTTTCTGAGAGTAGTGAATAAATAGCTGAAATCTTGATTCTTCACTTGTTCACGTATACAAAGGTGCCAGATATTGATGGAAAGATCCTCGGGTTTGGATCCAGTTGGATTCGGGTCCACAAAAGTGTGGACCTGTACCTTCCTAGTTGCGACTTTTCGATCGCATTCTCTTGGAAAAAATTGACAATGTTGCTTTCCATATTTTGTTGATGAAGACATAGGTGTTAGATTAAAATGCAACGAAAAAAAAAACCAGTAGTTAAAAATCAATATGACTTTCCTCTAAGATATTCAATCATATTAACAAGAGTTGTATTTCATTGAGAGATGCCATCAGAGTGTCACACCTAAAGACATTGAGGTTATCTAATGAGATGAAGTTAAGTGATAAATAGTGTATGTTTAACATTAAGACGACCCGGTTGAGATCCGAGCGGGTTCCAGTAGTAAAATAAGGATCAACGATATTTCGAGTCATTCTATCGTTAAAAAACATAAAGCAATATGATCGGTTAATGGTCTCAACGAACTCTACTAAAAATTGTAAGAGCATATCTAGCGAGACAAGGTTCGGACTTATTTCGTGTTTATACAGCATTATTCAAACGAGTAAGTTGCTAAATTTTCTTTTAGTAAATAAATATTTTTGAATAATATAAATGAATAATATATATTTTGTAAATATAATTCAATGAAAATTATTTATTTCAGGTTATTATGGTCGTCCATGGTCATTTAATCAACGCAAAACACTTTTTGAATAGTTCGTATAATTAATTTTTGTTTTTGTTTTTATTGATTTAAAATCTAAAATGATATATAAAGTTGTTTGAGATTTGGTTTAAATACATATGTATATGCACCAAAAGATGATGCAAAACATCGATCTCGTTGGCGTGATCTTTATTCAAGTGAAGAATCATCTGAATTGAGTCAATTAATTCATATAGCTAAACGATATGGAATTAAATTTATATATGCACTATCACCTGGTTTGGATATAATATATTCATCAGAAAAAGATTTAACATCATTAAAACGAAAATTTGATCAAGTATTTTATTTAAAATAATTCAATAATAGATTTGAAAATAATTTTTTAAATTTAGTTATCAACTTTTGGATGTGAATATTGGGCAATATTATTTGATGATATTGAAAGTGAAATGTCTCAACAAGATAAAGATCATTTTGCATCCTTTGGACATGCTCAAGTTGCTATTACTAATGAAATTTATGATTATCTTGATAAACCAAATGTTTTACTCTTTTGTCCAACACGTAGATTATATTAAATAATTCAAATTCTTATAAATTTTTCTTATTTTTAGAATATTGTAGTCGAATGGCAAAACCTTCTCTCGAAAGATCTTCCTATTTACAAATAATTGGTAATGGTCTTCATCCAGATATTGATATTTTTTGGACAGGTAATACTTATTTATTTAATCGAATTGCACTGCTTTTTTTGATCATTTAAATTTCTTAAGTTCGAGATTTTTGTTGTTAATATGAATCTCATTGAATAGAAGAAAAGTAAAATGGAAGATTGCCGAGTTCAGACGTAAAATATAGTTAAGAAATTAAATATCATTTTTATGATATAGTCAAAGTTTGTTTTAATATCAAACAATAGGTCACAATAAAGTTTTCGATTAGCGGAGATTGAGAGACCTCTTCACTACGTCCGACTTTCTGTCAATGTTTTTTACAGTTTCATGGTAAATTTGGAGAGAAATCGAATTTTAGAACACGATTTATCTTTCCCTAGCAGAAAGTGAAAAATAGTCAGGCAATGTCTTTGTGAGGTGAACAAGATTGGAGGAGGAAGGCATGACGCAAATCGACCACGGCTGGTTTAGTTCTTCCTCTACTCTCCGTCACCGTTTCTAGCATTCTATGAATGAAACCATTTTCTACGAAAATTTTCAAACTTTGCCGCATTTTTAGTCCCTCCTACCCAAAGTTTCCGATTGTTTTTTGGGAGTGGAAGAGGCAAAAATCTGGCAGAAGGTCTGAAATTTGGAGAGGGGGAAGAAATTTCTCCCTGCTTCTATCCCTAAAAAATCCTGATAATCTTCTACCAGAAATCTACATTGCATTGAACTGATCAATTAAAAAATTTCGATAGGTCTATTGTTTGCTTGAGTAAAACTATTCGACTTACGAGGGAACATACTAAGGTGTGTCATTACGTTTTCATTCGTTTATATATCATTCGATAGAAGACGTCGAATAGGTAAAAAATCTAAAAGGGTTTCGGCTGATGACTTTTTCTTTAGGAGTTACGACCAGTTTTCTGACTTTCTCAGCGAAAACTATCATAAAAAACAAAATTCATAACTCAATCAAGGAAATAGAGTACTGCACGGATACAATTTTTTGTATCCGTATCCAACCCGAACAATAATTAATCGATTCATACCTGAATTTTACCTGAAATCGACCCTATTTGTGCCGTAATCATAATCAAAATTCATAATATGAATTCACTATTTTACTTAGCTTGAATGAATAAAAATAAAATAATAAGATTTATATGATAACGACAAACAATTACGAAAAACTACGAGAACGATATTCGTCTGAGTGATCTCAATAGGTCGTCGATAATAGTAGATAGATTAGTACACGAATAAAACTTTTTGCACACGTATCCGTAAATTTCGTATTCGTATAGGTATGGGTATCCGATCTGTGGGTTGCAGTACTCTACAAGACAAACTCATAGAGAGTCGAAATTTGTTTTGATGATATTCTTAAGGATCCTCTATATACTCTGAAAGTTTCACAATTCTATCACTGTCTTTTCCCAAGTTATAGAACATTTCTATAAAAAAATGGTGTGAGTGTGGGCAAAGGAAGCACTGATACTTACACTTACATCCTCACCCTTACTTATAAAAATATCATATAACTCGGGAAAAGAGAGTGATAGAATTGTGAAACTTTCAGAGTATATATAGGACCCTTAAGACTACTATCAAAACAAATTTCGATTCATTATGAGTTTCCTTGATGAAGTTATGAATTTTTCTTTTTATGATAGTTTTTGCTAGGAAAATCAGAAAACTGGTCGTAACTTCTGAAGAAAAAGTCATCGACCGGAATCCTTTTAGGCTTTTTACCTACTCGAGGTTCTCTATTGAATGATATATAAACGAACGATATCGGAACGAGATGTCTGAGAATGTTCCATTGTTAGAGAAAAAGTAATTAGATTGATCAATCTGATTCGATAGAAGACTGTAAAATAAAGTTTATTATTATTATTATAATTAATTTGTAGGTTCAAAAGTAATATCTCGACGTATAACAATATCTGATATATTATCAGTAAATAGTGTTTTACAACGACGTGTAACAATATGGGATAATTTAAATGCAAATGATTATGATCAGCGTCGTTTATATTTAGGACCATTTTGTGGTCGTTCATCAAATTTATCATCTCGTTTATCTGGAATGTTAATAAATCCAAATTGTGAATTTGAATTAAATTTTATTCCACTTAATACACTTGGTCAATGGTATCAATCATTAAGAATAAATGAAAATCAAGATCAAATTGATGATGATGATGATGATAATAGTATTCAAATAAGAGAAATTTATCAATCTAATAAAGCATTAGATCAAGCATTAATTGATTGGTTACCAGAATTTAATAAAGTAAAAACAGCTCATGATTCACAACAAATATTAAAAGTATTTATAATAATATTTGTTTATAATTTTTCTAATAATAATTAATTTAATTAAGATTGATAATTCTCCTCAAGCAATGAGTCCTAAACCAACAGTATCATCATTAATTCTCGATGAAGATTCTCAAGATTCAATATGTGAAAGTCAAACATCAACAACATCATCATCAAAACTTCATATTATGGAATGTGATGGAAATGGAAATTCAACTGATTTAACATTAGATGATATACGATTACTTGTTGAATTATTTTATTTACCTTATGAACATGGACCTAATGTTCAACAAATGTTTATTGATTTTTATTGGCTTAGATTTAATTATTCTCAAAATGAAAATGTTTATTATTTTTTAATATTTATTAATTAAATTTAAAAATAAATTTATTTTTGTTAATTATTTTAGTTAAATGAATGGCGTTGTCGTTCTTCATCATTTCATAATAATGCAAAAAATATATCTCGTCTTGTTCAACGATTAACAACAATTCATAATAGATCATTACTCTATGATATTTATAATTATGTAACTGATATTAGTTCAACAATATCTCTTTGTTCAAGATATCTTCATTGGATTGGTGAATTTTTATTTATTTATTTTTTTAAATATTTTATTTCTAATATAATTATAGATAATGATAATAAACGTTCAACAATATTCTTGTCAGGTGATGTTGAACCATCATCAAAACGTGGTGGTCTTGCCGGTGAATTTCTGGTTTATTATTCTAAAAATATTTTTTTCAAGATTTTTTTTCTAAATAAATATATTTATAGAATATTCTTCCTATGGGTGATTTTCAATCAATAATTAAACCAGAATTAAATTCATCATCAAATATTTTTCTTATTCAACCAATGACTTCAAATGATCAAGTTTGTTCAATAATAACAAAAAAAAGAAAACCAACGAATATTTTATTACATTTTAGGGTCTAATGTATGCTTTATGTACACAAGTTTGTTATCGAGATGAAATCGATGATCTTTTAGATCAACATTCAGAAATTTTAGCTGACAAGTTAGTTTTTTCTTTTTCAAAAATATAATTATCTTTAACTTTTATCATCAAATTATTTATTTCGATCGAAAGATGTAAAACATTGAAATTCAACGAGAAACAATTTATCAAAATTTCATACAAGATTGATTATGGATAAAAATAGAATTTCAAACATCATAGATAAACATGAACCTATTTGAAATCAATCAAATCAATAGAATTATTAAAAACATAACCAAATTGACTATGATCCTATCCGAACGAGGAACAGACTTAAATCTAAAATAATTAATGTTGTTCACGTCTAATTGAGCGTTCAACAAGAAAGATATCTGCGATTAAACTGATCACAATATAGCAGCAAAGTCTTCCAAACTTATTGATAATTGTTATAAATAATTTTAATCTTCACGCCTAGTTATTCTTTCGAGACTGTACTAACGTTTACATCAATTTCATGCGAATCGAATGAATCTTTCAGAGTTTGTAAGATTTCTATCTGTAAGTATAACTGTAGGTTTAAAAACCTTGCAAGGGGCAACATTTTCTTGGTATCGAAAATTTTCCCACAAAAATGAACTTTTTCGGATTTTTGGAAGTTAAATTTATTCGACAAGGAACAAGATTTAATTAATAATTTTATATGTGTTAGAATTGTCTTTGAAGGTATTATCTGGTTATAAGATTTGAAAAATTTTAAAACTAAACCTGATCGCTAAGACACAGGATTTTTGGGGAGAATTTCGATGAGAAAATTAAGGATTTAGGTGAGGCAAGCAACATATACCCATAGTCTAATCAAACCGAAATAACAAAAAAATTATATTTCAACATTGGCCTGGCACTTTTAGGATTGACAAATTTTCAATGGGATTTCGGCAGGAATTTTTCAAACTCATTGGCCATTAAACTAAATACATTTTTGTTCCAGCCTATCTCAAGCAAATCTCAAATCTAAGATTTGTTCTGGTGAGAATCATTAATTTTCTTATCAGACAGTCTTAGAGTTTAGAAAAATGTGAAAATCCTTCCAGAAAATCTCCATATTAGTGGCCAGCTTTAGTTTTAAACCTTTCTAAATCTTATAACTGGATAGTACCTTCAAAGGCAATCCTAATGCATATAAAACTATTTATTAAATCTTGTTCCTTGTCGAAGTAATTTAGCTTCCAAAAACCCGAAAAAGGTTGATTTTTGTGGAAAACTTCTAATACAAAGAAAACATCAAGTAAAAAAAGCTTCTGCTTAATGAAATGATTGTTTCATTGAATAGTATCTACTCTGAAAGTTTCAATTTTCTATCATTTAGAATGCAGAAATTAGGTTTTTGCCGTGAGACTCCAAGTTGTCCTCCTGTCCATTCGGATCCCTTCAGAAGGTTTTTAAACCTATAGTCATGGTTAGAGGTAGAAGTCCTACAAATTCTGAAAGTTTCATTTCATACACATGAAATCGACGTAAAGTTTGGTGATACCCTCGAAAGAATAACCCAAATGATGAAATTTTCTGTTTCTTTTTCTATGCGTAGAAAAATTCTTTGCTTGGATATGAAGATGATTTTGTTAGGATGGATAGTCTTCGATTGTGATGCACCATTTTGAATCGAATGTATACTAGCTGTTAGACTACGATCAGACTAGAATAACTCCAGAAGAATTCTTTGTCATACCTTGTACTTTGTGAGTTATGACCATTTTATTGAATTTTCGATCTCTAGCAAGGCAGATATGAGCAACTTTCATTAAAGAATTTTGACATTATATTTTGCTCATGGAAAGTTCTCATAATTATTAGCATATTTTCAAACTTTTGGTCTAAAATAATATTTCTTCCTTGAAATATTAAACATATAAAAACGAACATATGTCAAGAGCAGAGGCATAAACTCGAATGTCATCAATATTCAATATGTTAAGAAGGAAATATTGCTTTGAACCTATATGCTTGTTCACAAGTTGAAAATCTTCTAGGGATTTTTCTCATTTTATCACAGTCAACAAATTGATATGCATCCGATTGAAAATGGCTCGTCACCCAAGTAGACTTTAACTGATTAGATGGATATTATACTAGAATAAATCTTCGCAAAACTATGTTATCTATTATCTTGATTAGAATTGCTTTGCAAGAGAATAAACTATTAAAATATTTATATTTATTTATTGTTTTTTTGTAGGTTAATTGGTGGATATTTATTAAGTTCATTAAATAATTTTGATTTATGTTTTTCTGTAAATAATGTCGAAGATGAATTATGTGGATTTGTATTAACAATAAGTGAAAGTGAAAAATATGATAAACTTATTCAATCAACATGGATTACACAACTCCATCAGAAATATCCAAATGTTGATCAAGTAAAGAAAAAAAGAAAAAAATTTATGTTTTTTTTTCCAATAATTTGAAAATGTTTGATTTAAATATAGAATTTCTTTGAAGTAAATGAATGTCATCAATGGATTTATGATCGATATCCTGTTCGTATACAATTATTTATTGATTTAACAATCAAAACTGATAATGCATTTTTTATTGGAAATAAATTAATGAAAATAATTATCGATAATCTCATTAAACGAGGTTTTTATTACAACAAAAAAAATAGAAAAAAGAAAAGAAAATATTTTTTTTTTCGTTTTTTATTTTTCAATTTAGGTTGTAATGGATGTCATGCTTTATTAGATGAAAGAAATCCATTATTACATCAATATTATTTACGACTTGGCTTTGTTGATGTACCAAATATTGAACAGAATGATCACATAATTCTTCTCGGAAAGCAATTTTAATATCGTTTCTTTTCTTTTTTACATATTTTTTTTCTTCTTCAATGTTTTCATTGCAAAAAAAATCTTTCAATCGTGTTTTGATAATGATCAATTTCAGAATAGAGTCAATCGAGTTTACGGCTAAATCAATATATTTGTTTTAATTACATTATCTTTCACTTCAATTAACTAAAATCTATGAAAGTTTTATTCTATATCTAGAAGAAAGAGTATTGATTTATTAAATTTGATGAGTTTCATTTTTGAAATATCATAATAAAACAAATTTATCTTTTATTATTATAATAGAATAAATATAAACATTTTAGTATATCTTTCGATTTAATTATAAATTCTTAATATAAAACTCAATGGTAACTAAAATTAATCATCATGTCAATGTGAGATACTCATCGAGTAACCACTTTTCTTTTATTTTATCGATTTTTGAAGACAACAGTTATGTCCATCTCAATCTAAGAAGTGATGACCTATTCGATATATAAATTGCTTCAACAATGACAAATTATTTATTTGTTGATCGACATTCAGAAATCAATCGAATACGATAAATAAATATTGGATATCCAGCAACTGTTATTGATAAAAAAAATCACCTAAATTTTTTAATTTATCAAGTCGACCAACATAAATCCAATTTTTTGAAAAAATATTTTCACGTTCTAATTGATAAACAGAATCATCATTGTATAGATATGGAGGTAATGGTCGAAATAATTCTTTATTAGAATCAATATTTGAATTAACGCTAATACTTATTTTAATCTTTGTATCAAACATTTTTCTCTATTGAAACTAACTGTTGATGTTCGCTTTTATCACAATTGTAAACGAACCAGCAAATAAACGATTCATGCTAAAGAATAACTTTCAAACAAAAACAAGTTCAGTTATATAATTTATAATTCAAAGATAAACTTTAATAAAGATAACAACTAATGCATCTTATCTAAAAGAAAAACTAAATATAAAGATTTATGATAAGAGTCTTTTTATTTTTATATTTTCTTCTACTGCATATATACAGGCTGATCAGAAAAGTATACAACAATTCTTTTTAATTATAACTTTTTATTATGACAATTTTTATTTTTTGAACTTGTCTTGTTTTTGTTGACAAAATACAAAGGTTTAAAAATAATACGGACAAGGTTAGTGAGAACCTTTCCTAATTATCACTATTGGTCTCAACAAGAAAATTTTACTTAGTCACAAATAGGAAAAGAAAACAATATTTTAGCTTATTTGATTGAGCCGTAATGAAGATATTCAATTTTGTTTTCCGATAAAGTGACTTTTGCACCATCTTGTATATTGTTTTCTTTTCCTATTTGTGACTAAGTAAAATTTTCTTGCTTAGGCTAATAGTGATACTTAACAAAGATTCTCACTAACCTTGTCCGTATTATTTTTAAACCTCTGTATTTTGTCAACAAAAATAAGAGAAGTTCAAAAAATAAAAATTCTCGTAATAAAAAGTTATAATTAAAACGAATTGTCGTATACCTTTCTGATCACCCTGTATATATAGATCTATATGTAGGTCAAGACTATCATTTTAACTATTATATTTCATCACTCATTTTATGCTTCAATATGCGTTAGCATTAACTTTTTCACCAGGCAAATATAAAATTTGACTGAATTTGACTTTTGACCACAACATACATACACGCAGAAAAAACTTTATCACTACTTTTCATACAAAAACAAGAAACAAATATTTTAAAAGAACTAGAGCTTTGTTTAATTTTTGAAATGATTGATTTCTGTATGGTAATAAATTCATTATTTGGTTAATTATTTTGTTAACCTCAAATGTCGAGAGGCTCATCTGTTGGGGCTCAAACGTCAAAGGCTAAACTGACGATGTACCGTTCTTTTCTACGTGCTATTAAAAAGAACGCGTTTGATTGTACTGGAGATAATGATTTGAAACATTTAAACAGCTTTCATTAGTGAGAAGAAAATGCAAATATGTTTCTATATTTATGCTTGAAAGATGTTAATGACAAATGTTTTCAGTGTTTGTTTAATGACTTTTTTAATTTGACTTCTATGACAGAGATTTATCTATGATCTTATAGAATATTGAACACTGACGAGGGAAGTACCCGAAGGGAGTAACAGCTTTTGGGCACATAGAAGGGATCTGTAGACTAGAATTAACCTAAAAGGATTCGGACCCATGATCCATATGAGCTGAAATATTGAATTTCCAAGTTTCAGTAGATAAGAAGGTTTTTGATTCTCTATTTCAATTATCTTGAAAATAAAAATATGCTGTTAACTAGAAATCCCATGATAAACTAGCTGCATCATCAGTAAATTACTATGATATTTCCAGATTTTATCTTGTTCCTATAAGCCAGTGTTTTTTTTTATTATATCAACCATCATCACAGAGATAGTCGTCCACAAATTAGGGTAGATCACATTTTTCATTCATTTGCTCCATCGAAATCTCTTCTGATATCGAACTATTAGTCTGGTCAACAAGACTCAAAGATATACTCCGTTATCCAAGAATGTAAGAGATTAGAAATACCAGCTCACACTACGTCACATATTCAATCCCTTACTTCAATTCCTACCTATGATCAAGTATACATAGTTCACATCAAGATACATCGAACAACATTCAGAAGATTTAAAGTCTGTCAACGAAGTTTGCTTCAACGTTGATACTGATATTTGCCAACAGTCGAAGTGTCGTTTATTATGGTTTATTCAATGCATTCATTGCTGCAAGTTACTTTGCTTTGAATATTTCTTAGAAACTTATCACTATCATAGTTAGATGTTTGCTATATTTTGGTGTGACGATATAATTTTAAAAAAAGTGATATCTATAAAACTTTATTTTCTTCGGTCTACGATTTAAAATAAAACGGCTATGGCTTATAGAAATGAGATAAAATCTGAAAATTTCACAGTAATTTACTGATGGTGCAGCTAGTTTATTATGGAATTTCTAGTTAACAGCATATTTTTGTTTTCAAAATGATTGAAATAGAGAATCAAAATCCTTCTTATCTGCTGGAACTTTAAAAATGAATATTTCAGCTGATAAGAATCATGGGTTCGAATCTTTTTAGATTAATTCTAGTCTACAAATCCCTTCTATGTACTCAAAAGCTGTTAATCACTTCGGATACTTCCCTCCTGAGTCTTTTAAAATGAAACTTAGTCTATAACTATTAAAATTGCGAGACATATTGAGAAAATACTAAGAAGTTCATTTATTCTGATGCACTCATTATATCAAAAGTACTGTTGAAATAAAGATCATATATGAACCAGTGAATAAAATGCACAATATGAACTATTTCCTTATTCGATCAGTCGAAATGACATGTCTAAATCGAATATATAAATGAAATAAATAAGTTTTATACGTAGATTAAATTAGCCAAAGATTCGAGTAAAAGTAGCTAGGATTCGCCCAAGAGTCTGTTCTAAACGTTCCAACCAGTGTTCCAAGTGCAACTCAATGAGCTCTATCCAATGATATATGTTCAGACTTTTCATAGTTCAAACTACGATTTTCAGGTTTTCATATCGGTATCTATGGTCCAAAAAGTCATACTTTGAGCTATGAAAAAATTTGAACATACTATTGGATAGAACTCGTCGAGTTCTACTTTGAACCCTCGTTGGAACGTTTGGAATAGATTCCTAGATGAATCCTAGCTACTTTTACTCGAATCTTTTACTCGAATTTCAGCAGAAAAATTTAGTATTTGAGGTTTTTCTCAACGATAGTTTGAGTCATGGAAAACCTGATTGTATCAGTAGATAGATCTCGTTGAGTTGCACTTGAAACTTTATTGGAACAGTTAAAACAAGTTTCTAATCGAATTCTAGCTGCTTTTACTCGAATCCTTGGCTAATTTCACCTACGTATAAGTTATGAAAATATGAATAAGTTGAGTATTATTGTTAATGATATATTTATTTAAAAAAATTAAGTTAACAGTATAAAAATGGAATTAAAATCGAATAAAATATTAAGTAAATGGTCGAGTACCAATAAATACTGGCTGATAAAAACATTGATCAAGTCGCTTAACATTTTCAAATCCAGCATCATTGATTAATTTTATTAATTTATCGGAACTAATTGCATAATAACGTGAACGCATTGCATGTGTAAGAATATTTTTTGATTTAAGATCTTCTTCAATAATATATAGAGTAAAATCATAATATTGAAAATTTGTTTGATCGAAATCCCATACTTGTAAAGCAATATATCTTTTATCATTTTCAATTTTTGCTTTTCCATAAGGTTTAACAATATTTTGACTAGTACGTTGTTCTTTATCATAATCACGAATTGTAATTAAACAACCACCACCTGGTCGTAAACAAGAATACATTTGTTTAAGTGCAGATAAAATATCTTGATCAGTAAGAAGATGAGGAATTGAATTATCACATGAAATAACAATATCAAAATTTCCACCATGATGTGCAAAAGCTGTTTTCATATCACAAACAGAAAATGAAATATTTGTTTGTCCACGTTGTTGAGCTTCATATTTTGCTCGTTCAATTGCATTTACAGAAAGATCAGAAGCTGTAACTTGATAACCATTTTGAGATAAACCAATAGCTTGTGTACCTATTCCACAGGAAACATCTAATATTCTTTTATATTGAGACCAATTTGATTCGATAAGATTTTTCAATTGAGAACCTTGTCGTTCAATAGATGCATTCCAATCTTCAAAAATTACATGATAAAATCGACATAATTCGTCATAAAAGTTTGACATATGATCAACAATTTCTAAATTCAAAAATAATTAATTTTAATATTTTAAAAGTTATTTTGAATTATTTGTTCATAATAGAAATCTATTACTTCATGTTTAATATTAAAATTTTCGAGAATATTTTTTTTTATCAACTGTAGATTTTTAAGAGTTGAGATAAATTTTTAAAATATAATCTGTTCAAATAGTTTCTCATCATTAGAAAAAGAAATCAAATTGAACAAAAGGAATAAATAAGTCTGATATATAGAAGAATAATTTAAAAAATATAATACATTGAGATTCATAACGAAAACAATGAGAATGGATGTTATATCTTATTATTTAGACTATTGATACGCATAATAATAGTAACTATTATTTATTCATGTAAAGAACAGATAAAAACTCAAAGAGAAATTATACAACCGAAACCAATGAATAATTGCAAGCTAGATGTCAGATGCAAATGTAACTTATATTCTCTATCGAGTCGTGTGTAAAATCGAAAATCTAACCTTATTGTCATTTTTTCATCAGAATGAAGATTTTTATTTGGAAATATTTCTTACTTTTCATCATAAAGTATTCAATCGAAAATTTTTGTTTCTTTTCTTTGAGAAAAACAGTTCCTTTACAGACTATAATGTCAATATTTAGATTTTACTCATCTTTCTATTGCAAATTATACTGTTCTTCATTGATGATTGAATTAATGTATACGTAGATTAGATTAGATGAATAGCATATTCAGATATACCACAGTCAATAAGTAGATTTTTTTCTTCATCCATATTCATTTTTCTAACTTAAGCAAAACTTCTCTTTTTCGATTTATTTTAAAATAATATAGTCAAATATATTACTGGAAATATAAAGAAAAAAAATTGTTTAGTTTAAATAAACTAACTTCTAATAGAAAATATAAGAAAAAATCGAAAATATCATCAAAATCAATATTATTTTCTAGTTATCTAGAAACCTTTTGTTATGGACATATTGAACATAATAACCATAATAGGTAACTTCATCTATTGGTCAGCTACCGCTCCCTGTGTGTCTTTTATGAATTTCTTGAGAAAAACAACTGATTTATGAAAATTAATATCACTTTTCCAGAAAGTTAATATGCGATACCTTAGATATTCATCGGATCTTCTGGAAACCAGCGATGGAAACAGTGATAGTATAGATTTTAGATCGCTCTCTCTACTTATAAACTGTTCAGCCGCCGATGAGTCGATCAATGTCGGTAGACGGTAAAAACCCAATGGATATAGCATGTTTCACTGATAAATTACGTTTCTTTTAACTAGCTAAGTGGCTAAAATAAAAAAAAAGTGTTTTTAAAATGAATGTAACGTTTACAACGAGAAACTTATTTGGTTTTATCAGTTGATGGTCTAACAATTATATGACAAAAGATCGGTAAATGATTACCAGACTATCACAACTGTTAGATCAGTCAGTTCGCATAGATTTCATCTCTGCTCAAAACTCATATAACTCCTAATGTGTCTTTTATGTATGTATGAAGACGGATAGAAATACGAGAAGATGAAGATACATATTTAAATAATATTGATCCACTATTATGAACACAGATGCTAACAATAATGCATTTTATGTTTTCTATTGAAAAATAACTATCGGAAGAGAGAGGTGATTGCTCATTGCACTTTACCCTTTACCGCACCATTGAAAGACTCTGTATTAGTAAGATGAATTATAGATAATACCAAACAAACATGAAAATAAGTAACACGTAGAGCTAAGTCAATGTTTCAAAAGAAGAAGTTAAACGATTAGATGGTTTCCGATAACGTTGCATATTGTGTATGTATAGATTATCAAAAAAAATGTTGTTTCATCCAATGAAACAAACTTAATTTTGTTGAAATATTCTTAATTTCTGTCACTGTTGGTTGGTCCGAGAATGTAAATGTGTGAACGTGAGGATGATCGTCTCAGTGTATACGATTGAAGATGTTGTCAGCATCCAAGAGTTTGACTCTCAAAACCACCTTCATCAAAACTCACACTCAATCTATGTGGCTCCATCGTGTTTCGCATTTTAATATCATAGGTGTTGAGCTGAAATTTTTTCTTTTTATATTTCAAGCTGATTTATTTTTCTTTATTTTAAACATTGAATATGCGTATCGACAAAAAATTTGACAAGCAAAATATTTCTTCGTATCAGTGTTAAATAAATCGAACCACTTTCCAAGTCTCAAAAGAGATGTTATATAAATCTGACTGTGTTCAAAAATATTCAGTAGAAAAAAGAAATTTGTTACTAACTATTGTTTAATTAAATTCTCAGTCCAACTGATTGTATTGAAGGTAAGAAAAATAATAAATACGATTTATAAACTTAGAGATGGTAGGAACTGTAATTATGTTAAATAATGGCTGATTGGAAGTAAATGATACTTCTGACGAAGTTTTTTAAGATGAACTATGCAAAGAAAATATTGATGAAATAATTTATGTTACTAAACTATTGTACGAACCGAGTGAAGTCTACAAAGTCGAAATTATAAACCCGAACTTCATCAAAGTGGACACAGTCTGTAACGAAGCTGTTGTCATTGTTATGTTGAAGAAAAGTAGATATGTAATTGGATTAGTAATACTAATCGGAGAACAATGAAAATGAAAGAATGTCAACTAATTATAATACAAGATAACCGACGTCGAACATGTTGAAGTTTTTCATGATGTGCTTATGAGATTGATGGCAGCAGTAAATCTAGAAAATAGTGTGATCATGGTTATGTATTTTTGTGTTTCACTAGACATTATAACTTTTTCGGTATCGAACTAATTCATTTTGAGCCTACTTGTCGATAAGGTACTGTTAAAATTGGTTCTCAAAGGATTTTGTAATTTGACCAACAATTACTCATTAAATGCTGGAGAATAAAATAGAAACATCGAAAAACAGAAGTTAAATAGAAAAAAAATTATTTCTTGAAAACAAAATTGCAAAATGAGACAATCTTAATAAAAATGTGCAAATCTGAAGAATATTATTCAAATTCGGATGAAATTATCAAAATTTCAACTGTACAACCATAAAAACGATTTATATGCAGAAATTAAAAAAATAAGATATAACCGAAGTTCTTCATCAATAATATCTATTATTGAGATTTTATATCAATGATTTCTTTTTTTCTCTACTTGATGATTTAAATGATGATTAATAATTTTGAATATGTCTGATCATCCGAAATCAAAAGATAATTGTTAAAATAAAAATCGATCAATCCATAACTATTGATAAGCAAACAGATCTATTATATCTTTGTTCATTAATACAGAAAATTATATTTGTTTTTTTATTTAAATATAATATTATCTAATGACTCGTTGACTTGAAATAGGAAATTCTCGAAAACAAAAAGATCAGTTTTTGTTAACTATTTTTTATTTTTCTTTAGTAAAATAATTATTTATTAATTAACTTCTTTATTTAATATACAAAATTAAATCATAGATCTTCCTCCTCCTCGTCGTCTTCTTTTTCTTCTCGCCAAATTTTATCAGGAGAATAAGGCGATTGAGGTTGATCTTCATCTTCAGATGAATAAAAATATTCTCGATTAACTTTTTCTGTTAAATGATAACGATCAATTAATAAATCAGTATCAATAATCGTTGGTTTATTCTTCTTCTGTCGTTTTTTATCATTTGATTTTTGTTCAACATCACTTGAATTCATATCTTGATCATCTATTCGACAATTTGGATGATTATTCGTTGTTGTTAATGGCCAAAGTTCAGATTCATTTAATTTTTTGCTAATTGAAGAAGACACATCTGTTTCTTTGGAATTTTCCTAAAAAATATATTCATATTAGAGAAAAGTTTATTTTATCAATGAGAAGTTAAATGATTATTCATCATCTCAAGAATCATCTTTAACTCTTCATAACTAAAGACTAATAGAATTAATATAGGAAAATAAACAAACTTGTTACATCGCATATCTAATCTATCAAACATTATTTCTATAAGTATCATTTTTAAAGACTAAACTCTCAACTAGTTACTTTGCTAAGGGGAAAAATCTCATTCCGAGTCATTCGAATAGCTCCGAATGTCTGAATGAGATTTTTCCTCTTTGTACTTTGCTCTTTAGAAATCAACTTTCTAAGTAATGTATGATGCAAAAGTAATGAAACAAATGTCGAACTCTATTTCTCTTCAATAGAAAGGTACTGAGCAGAAAGTATTTTACTAAAAGATAGAGCTTTTTCTTCTCTTTCGAATCATATATTATTTATTTTTGTTATACATTCATGAAGGAAACGATGCAATAGAAAAACGAAGCATTCACACTTTTCGTAAGATTCAGAAAGAGCAGCACACAATGTTGTTTCCTATAACTCTTTGACAAAATACGTTTTGAAACGACTTTTTTTTATATCAGTTTATAGGAAATTTTCTCTTCTCTCGAACAGTCTATAATTTATATTCTTCGCACATTCGTAAATGAAATGAGACAAGAAAAAAAAATATATATATTTCCTTAATAAATACATAGTTTTTCTATGAACTCATCAAGAATATCTTGTTAGACGAAAATGAATGGAATCTTTATGGAATCATTAAACAAGATCTTGTCAAATAATAGTTAGTTATAATCAACTGTTGTTTATAAGATATTTTTAACGAATCTATTTTAAAATTAATTTTTTATTGGAGAAGAAAATATCCTATCAGCTGATTAAAAAAAAATATTTTTTTCAGAATATATTTACCGAAAAGATATAAGGATCGAGACATTGTACACCCATCTATAGAAAAAGTGCGAATGTTTCTCTTTTCTGTTAGATCATTTCATTTATAAGTGTAATATTAAAATAAGTTATATACAATTTAAAAGAAGAGAAAAGGAATCCAATATTTGTCCTATTACTTTTGAATAATATATTATTTTAATGAATATTGAAATATATATTCTAGAATCAGATTAGTAATCTCTTCATTTCTATGTTAAAGTTAAAATCTATCTCTCTGTCATAAATGACAATTTTCGTCAAAAAATTCTATATTGAGATTTTGACGCGATTGAATAAGTGTAAATGTCTAATAGGTTTCAGTGAGTGTGTTATGCTTTTCTATGATTTGTTTTCTATATCCTGATTGCGTTCTAGAATTTTAACAGAGCTGAAGTTTTCATATTCGACTTACATGTTGAAGAAAATAAATGTTTTTCTCGTAGAGGTATCCTAATTTTTTCGAATTTTTTCAGAGAAAATTTTATCATAAGTAAAGAAACAATACTTTGAAATATTGGACTCTGTTAGGTTGTACCACCATGTTTTAACTGTATTTTGAAACGAATTCGAAATCTATATGATTATACTTCGAGGAGAAGTTCTTCTTACATGAAGACCTACTTATTGACATTTAATCTTATCATAGTTCAATATTTTTGGTCGAAACTTTTCCTATGAATTGTTAGAACTCTCATATACATTCCCTAAAATATTCAACTAGATCGGTCGTTCTGGGGCAAAAAAGTAGGTTTCTGATAATGAATATGATTTAATAATAATAATTAGTTAAACATACCTGATGATCATCGATGTCTGAATCAGTATCTTGTTGATCAATTGATATATTATCTAATAAATATTGATTTGAGTGTTTAAATATTTCTTGTTCATATTTATCATCTTCACACATAAATTGTAATTTAAGTCTTTCAGTATGTAATGATTTAATTGATGATATTATTGATTGTTTACCATTGGATAATAAATTTGATTGTTGATTTATTAATATAAATTCTTTATAAAATGATTTTTTACGTAGAATATCTCGAATAGTAATACCTTTATTATTTATTTGATCAGGACATAATCTTTTAAAATATATAATAAAAATAAAAAATTCTTTAATAATAATAATAATGAAAAAACCTTAATTGAAATGTCCATCGTTTATTATAATTGTGATTATCTAATGGTTTAATTTGTTTAATTGTTTGAATACATTGTGAAAATATTTGATCAATATGATGAATTAATTCTTTTGTATTATCATAAATAGCACGTAAACATGGATCATGAATTGTATGAAATTCAATTAAATATCTTCGAAGAATAATTGGAATTTGAAAATTTCGAATTATATTTATTGAAATCATATCAGATAATTGATGAGAAAATAAATCTCTTAATGATGCAACACATAATCTTATATATGATGATATATCTTTATCAATACATTGATAAACAAGTGAATTATACATTTGACAAGGAGAAAATAGATCTTTAATTAAAATAAATATTATTTTATTTTTAAATTTTAAATAAATTAAAACAAACTTGACGGATAAATATTTTCCTGATAAATAATTTGATTAATAATAATATCAATAAATTGTAGACATCGTTCGAATACTTCTGGACGAATTTGTTTTTCAAGTAAACGTGGTTCATCATGTCGTCGTCGTCGTCGAGCACGACGATTATTTATATTGATTTCCATCTGAAATTTAAAATAAAAAAACAAATTTTTTTTTCAAATATATATTCCAACGGACATACTTCACTTTTTTGTTTTTATTTTATTTTTGATCGAAAATTAGAAAAAAAAATTAAAGAAAAAAAAATCGATTTAAATTAATTATTCAGATGGATTTGAAGAATCTTGAGGGTTGTTATCATCTATTTGTTGTCGATCTAATTAAATTGAGAATTATATTTTTCAAACAAATAATAATCGGCTTGGATATTCATTTAGCTGGTATTCCACTGTGTGTTGTTATAATATGAGACGGTGGAATACTTTTTATGAGAGGAACACCAGCTAAACGAATATCATCGGTTTGTTTACTTTTAGTCATATCTTGATGTACAGTAGCTAATATATTTGTAATCGATAAACATTCTCGTTCAATTATTTTTGAATAATTTTCAACATCACCTAATTCCTATTTTAAAAACAAAAAAAAAAAGCTACACTCTATTTTAATTAATTTATACAAAAAACCAAACTTTAAGTGCATCAGTAAATTGTCCGATAAGTGTTATCCATGCTTGAGATTGTTTTGCAAGTTGATTTGATTGTGTTGTCAATTGTTTACATGCATGATCAATACGTTTTTGATTTTTATAACATTCAGAAACACTTGACAAAACAAAAAATAATGATAAATTTTAATAGAAATTATATTTATTGAGTAAAACATTACTCATTATTAAGTCCATCTAGTACATGACGAGTTAATTGTTCGGTTGATGTAAGTAATTCTTTCTTTTTCTTTTCTAAATAGAAAAATATTATCAATAGAAGAAAATAATTTATGATATTAAAATAACCTTGTTTTTGTTTCAAAACTGAGACATATTCTGTATGTTGACGATATATATTCGAGAGCATTTTTGACAAAAAAATAATTTCAAATGGTTTAAATATAAGTTATACTTGAAAAAATGAGTGAATCGTTTATCTTTCCAATTCATAATAACAATCTCAGATGACGCCACATGATAATAAAAACACGAAGATATTATTTTATAAATTTTCTAGTTAAAGATTATATTCATTGGATCAGATGTTTGAAAATATTTTTAGTTTGTTAATAACCGAATGACATATGAATAATTATTAATATTCAAGTAGTTCAATATATTGAACGATTCAACCACGAAATCATTACTTTTCTCCTGTGTTGATTTGGAACAGGGATCCGCGAAACAGTCTTGTGCTGCTCCATGCCATTGTTCACGCCTGGGCGTATCACCAGAGCTAATTCATTTCTTCAATATTCTCCCAAGAAGTCCTAAACTATGGAATGGCAAAGAGTACACATCATGCACAAGTATACTAAACGTCGCATCGGCATACATTAGAGCACGAGGTGGCGCAAGATTTATGCATAGGATAGTGGAACATAATCAACACCAAATAGAATTAACATATTAAATGTGTTCGAGCTTAATGATTGTTGTTCAATGTTATTTAGTGACCTTTGCATCATGCGCTTCGTATGATTATATTACTCTAAAAAATTCCCATAAAATAGCTTCGTTGAAGAGTATTAGAAAAATCACTGAATTTTTATTAGAACACGCATTGCAAGTAAGAGATGCTATATGATTTTAGCAGAATCTTGATAATGAGGAGATTTAGCTGATATAACTCGATTAGGTGCGACAGGACTTTACCTTTCATCGTTGCTTCTTTATGAATAGGTAACTTTTTTAATCAAAATAAATATTGTTTTAACGGTTTGATATATTAAAATTTTTTATTCACATTATTCTAAACATACGGTACCTTGCGTTCTCTTTGACATAATTATTAATTTATTCTATACACTGTAATAATTCATGCAAATTAGGTGTCTGATATTATCTTTTTTGCAATTTCGATAATACTCTAATCAGTTGAATAATATATACGAAATTATCGCTTAGCCTATATGATAGTTTCCTCGATATAAAGTGTCATTCCGAAAAGAATGAATTATTTTGTCTGTGTATTTATTTCAAATAACCATTAAGTCACACACTAATAAAAAATGTGTTGTATTTTGCGACATAATGCACGACACCATAAAGTGTGATACGACGTGCTCGCTACGACGCATGTTGAAAACGTAATTCGAAACTACTCTTCAGCACGTCTGTTTTTTACCGAAAAATCAAATAATTACTCTTTTTTCTAGTTGAATTTGATTTAGTAATACCTATTTTTGTAGCCAAAGACGGTAAGATCCTAGAATATGATCGTTTGAGCCGATTTGATCTCAATCACTAATCGATCTCTCAACATATTCTCGAATTAATATGTAGCTGCAAGCACAAAACAAAACGATAAATGAATAGTTAGCCAATAGATCACAACATATCTAGGATACGACACATTTCGAATTAGAGCCTGCGATACTATTGCGAGCAATACATTTTTATTTTAGTGTGTAAGCCGAAGCAAATAGAAAATATATTTCAATAAAAACTTATCATTCACAATTTCGGGTATGATTAGATTGTTCTATACTTCAATCATTATATTTCAAAACTATATTTATTCAATGAAACACGTATTAGTTGTTCTGTATCCACGAGTTTTAAAAATTTATACGTATATCAATCGGAAAGGCACGATCCAAAATAGCCATATACTACGGAATATAGAAAAAGAATGGTGATTGTATACGATGCCATATGTTTCGATACAATGAATGCAAACAACTGTCGCGTATAGCTACACCATACAATAGCATATGATCTTTTCTGCATTTTATTCAAGAAGTTTAACAACAAACCTATCCAAAATAGGAGTCGAAAACCTAATCATCGTTCAATCCAATAGTCTGATGCTCTTTATTGACAATAGTTTTACTTGATAATTGGCATTACTGTCAAAAAATGTCAGGATACTTCTAGCTGTCTCTTCAGGCTTATCAATAGCCATAAAGTGACCGCAATCATCGAAAACAACACATTCAGAATTTGGGAGCAAATTGCAGAAAAATTCCGCACCACTAACAGCATAGACCTAAGTGGAGGGAAGATTTATTTTAAAAAAAATTGTATTTCATTAGTTTATACCTTATCTTGACGACCCCATAATATCAATGCCGGACAGTTCACTTGTCGCAACTGTTGATAATGATCTTCAATTAGTGAACTATCGTATCCGAGAAGTGAAGTAAGTACTAAAAAACAAATTACTTAACTTTGAATAATTTCTCTTATATAATACTTTTCTTGTGTTCCTCCAACAAACGCAATCTCAATCGCAGAAATCCATTGACAAATGGTTCAGGCAGCTTTAGTCTTTTTACTGTCTGTGTATGGATCATTTGACGTAGTTCTTCTGGTGTTTCCGGTAAAAGAGCATTGTATACGCCGGTACGCAGTTGTCGAATCAAATCAGTTTCAGATGCCTCATTTGCTATTTTAACACGCGGAGGTATTTAAAAAAAGAAAGTAATAACACATGCTCATAGAATGCCATAAAACTTACCTATAGGAGCTAGTAAACAAATCATACTTACATATTTCGGATATTTTATGGCAAACATGCATACAACCGCACCGCCCATCGATGCACCAATAATACACATTGGTTCGGTTAGACCCATTTCATCAAAAAACTAATAACAAGATCACATATGAGAAGCAGAACAAAGATTCGAAAAAAAGAATCAATGATGATCTCTGTACCAATTTAAGTTTTTCCACAAATTTATCAATTGTATAGATATCTTCTTGAAAGCCAATCGTTTCTCCATGACCAGGCAGATCAACAGTGATACAATGATAATCATCTGATATATTCTGCACATGCAACAAATAAGACATTGAGATGCTGATATAATTCAATATTAACTAACTTTAATAATCGGTATCCATGTTTCTTTATTAGAAGAAAGTCCATGAACAAATACAATACTCGGCTTTTCAGGATTTCTTGAGCCTTTCTCAGCATAACTAAATGAAGCAGCAATTCCACTATTGTCAATGGGCAATGAATGTTTAGTAAGACCAGCTCGATATGTAGTGAATCTATATAATTTGATCCATTGAGAAAGTTATACATAATATTTTTCACTCACTTATAATACAGTTGAACAAGCCACGTCTGCCTACAATCCGTCGAAATATTCAAAATATTAGTTGTTTTTTTCTTGAAAAGCGAGAAAAAACACTCACATTGTGAAGACTGAATTTCTATCGACTTGAGAACACGTGTAAAATGTCTATAATTCAGCCAAAGTAAAATAATTGAAGAAGGAAGAAAAGAATGATTTTTACGAATAAGCCTAAGACTGTTATATTTTTTGTGTATGACTCAGGCGAACAATGTTGACGATAGAGACATGTTGCTTACTGCTTCAATACGCATAAAATCCCGTGTCGCTTACAATTTTCATGGTCGTGAATTATCGAGTAATGAACATACTTTACCCTTCATATTAATGCTTTGGTAGATAATCTCGAATGTGTCATGGAATATGTTTGTAAAGAAAATTGTCTCACTATGTCACTGGTAATTTATGCACATGGAACTAGATATATTATTTGTCCTGCTTATATACTTTGATGATCGAAGAAGTCACTAGATAGTCAAGATATGACATTGAGCACACCTTCAGTAAGTCTTAAAGTGCATCCCATACTCATGTCGTTTTTCGTTTTGAGAGTTTTTTGCAAATCTGAGCTATCATTTTCGTCTGCAGGCCGATGGAAACAACACAAATGAGTACACCAATGATCCAGATATGGTTAAAGTCTATCGAGCAGATTCACTTGTTCATGATAAATGGCTTGCATGAACACTTTCCTTATTAATTTAAATGAGTCACTTATTAGAAATGACTATTCTTCAATTTTCAATACCGTTATTAATTCAATATGGCATTGCCCACACGATTACATCCATCGAGGACATCTAAAAATGGATGCGAAAACGAGCAAAGACTGATGATAAAACGTTTAGGAATTGATCAAAACATTTTCATGAATTATGTAATGAATTAAACAAAGAAGTTTTGAATAATGAACTGGACTAGATCGAAAAACATTTAAATATTAAAAAGAATTAGAGTCAATTTTTTTGCATTTCGTTATTTCTAGCCGTGAGAATTTTATATGATTTGAATCGAAAAGTATAGGAAATTCTTACGGGGACGATCAGCATTCTATTCACTTTTCCAAAAAAGTTTTTTTTTTTTTTTATCAAACCAGAGCTTTTTTTTTATTAACTCTCATTTCTGTATGGATTCTCATTTATATTCGATGTTTCGATATGTCCTTTTTCTTTTTTTTTGAACTGGTTGACAAATTTTTTTATTATTGGCCTGCACAACAATATTATAATCGATGGAAATGGTTTTTAATGTTAGACATTTTCTTAAAAATAATGATAGAAAATTTTTTTAGAATTGTATTCTTGTTCTTATTATATACACAGATCAAAATGAAAATGGCGATGAAAAAAATCTAATGTTTTTCGTCTATTTTCCAAAGACTTCTAAGTATGTTTCCAATGAAACAACTGACAATTATTTTGAACATAATTGTGAGAATAAGAACCATTTCACTAAAGTCAGATAAAATCATCACCATAGCACGAAAATTCAGATTCTATAACTTGTCAAACTCAAAGTTAATTGTATTCTTGTCACCGATCTGATCAGCATTATTGATCAAGTTGCGATCTTTTTATGTATATTGAATCTTTAAACTTTCATGACATAAATGATTCGTTATGTTAAAATAAACACAGCGTGATGTAAATATTGTTATCAATAGCAACAGTGTAAACGATGCCAAAAATTTCTCTATTATTTAGAATATTTATCCGATAGACCGAACATTGCTTGTAAAGATTTGGAGATATATTACTTTCATTCACCATTGAAGTAGCAATGGAGAAAAGCCCACAGGAATAACTATTGAATGGTCCAGTTGGATGAAGACCTGCCGCTGGAGTCGTAAGCTTAGCTACAAGCTATGATTGGTCAGTTTTTTCTTAGAATTTAAGTGCGAATGTGCAGAATATTAGATATCAGAGTTCTTGATTTATAAATCTGAAGTAGTAGAAAAAGTATCATAGAACAAATGAAATAAATATTTCTATTTTTACCTATCGGCGTCGTCTTTTAGAAATAATGAATGCATTATCTTGTTGATGACATATACGTAGATGAATGTTCTTATTTTGCAAGTTTCAAATCTCTTATTTCATATAAAACTATCTGTCAAAATTATATTTGATTCGGCAAAATCCTTCTTGAAAAATATCATTCAGTTTTATAAACAGAATCTTCTTTCTTCTTTATCTATGTAGATAAAGAGAAAGAAAAAAAGGTAAAAAAAATTACAAGTCAAAAGAAGGATTCATATGTTCAAAAATTGAGTTCGTTGCTGCTTCGAAATGACTGAGTGAAGTAACCGATTAAAACATGAAACTGCAACATGCAAATTTTTTAAGCATTTTTTACATTTTAAAGAATAAATTCTAAATAACATTTAGTTGATTTTAGTTTAATAGTGGTATTGACATTAGTTGTAAGCAAAGATTGATTTAACATTTGGATTGGTTTCACTAACATATATTTCAAATAACCATGTGATTAATAACAGCTTGAGTATAGTTGTACTACTCACTCGATTCTTATCATAAAGATAATTCTAATCGATCGAATATTTTCTTTGCATATACAATTTATAGTTAACGAGTATATGATTAATGCAAGACTACGTTAAAGATATCATCGTTGATATACAGCCAACATCAATATTAACATGGTGAGTATTTTTCTTTTACAATCTTCGTTTTTACAAGTGAAGATCAACATGGAAATTTTCATATAAAAATGTGCTTTTTTTTCTAGGAATTTAGAACGTTATAATTGGAAGTTATGGAAGAATATCTTCTACGGTTTACTCACTATGAGTGTCATGATTGGTATTATTCTAACTGTGTTGATCATTCCGAATTACTCAAGAAAAGAGAGAATTTCTTTCATTATTATTTATCGAACCAACATGGATGACGTCAGTTTATCAACAATTGTTGATCTAGATTCGCTCGGTGTTAGTGTACGTATAAAGAGCGTTTGATAATAACTGAGGATGAACTGTCAATCACATTTTTCATACTTTTTCTTAACGTAGAGGGCTGAAATATTTATCATATAAATATCTAACTAAGGTCTTTAATTTTCCAAAATTTCAGCTCTGTACCTAAAACTAGTATGGTGAAATGCATAGATAATATTGAAATATATGAATTTTGGTACTTGATTTTAGTGGCATCTTTATTTCTTGACTAGGAAATTTTATAAATACATGATGAAAAGAAATTTTCCAAGACAATTATTTTTAAAAACGTAAACTATAGTAGAATTCAATGTGTTTGAATATGTTCTCCTTTGTTTCTAATGACGAGCTGTAATCGATAAAGTATTTCATCCATGATTTTTGCAGATTTTTCTTTCGAAAATTTCTTCCATTCTTGTGAAATCTCTTCTTCTAATTGCAACGATTTATCAAGCATTTTATCATGAACTTTTTCTTTTAATACACTCCACACATTTTCAATTCCGCATACATCAGTAAATTTAGCATCAGCATCTATTGCTTCTATACATTCATGAAATAATTGTGGAACTGTATGTCTTACTGATGATGTTCGTTGCTTTTGATCTTGATCATCCTGAAAAATTGGATCTAGTTTAGATTTTCGAAATGCTTTTTTTTAATTACTGAAGTTGCTTTTTATTTTAAGAATTTTTCATATAATTGGTTTGTTAAATATACTCGTTTTCATCTGTCACTTTTTAAAGTACGTTGTTGTTCTAACCAATTACTAATATTGATAGGATTATGTGATGATATTGCATCACAAAATATTACACTTTGTTGAAATTTATCTCTTAATTCATTAATTAAACTTGCGTCAATTTCCTCACCTTCATCAGTTCAAACGTCATCGTTTCTTTTATTATGAAAACGTTGAAGAGTAAATTAACCAGTGAAATCATAATTCATAACACAATTCCATTTCTATTTCTTGGCGTTTTTCCTAACACCAGACTTTTTTTCTTAATATTCTTACACATTTAACACGTTGTAATTTATCAAAATCATTTAGTTTTTGTGCTTTTTTGTTTTTGTATCACCTTAGTTTGAGCTTTTTAGCTGTTTGATAAACTGAAGCAGTAGATGATGTAAATTGTTCTTTTTTGACATTAGCATCAGTTTTTCTAATAGAAATTTCCTTTTTTTTAATCTAAGATAATTATAAAGGTTTTGTTGAAATTCAGATGTTGTAACTATTACAGGACAACCAGATCCTTTTTTTATCACTAATGGTCCCTCTTTTTAATATTCGTGATACAGAGTTGTAAAGTGATTTATATTTTAATTATGATGGATTATCACAACTTTTAATCAAGCGAACAATGCGGTCAACACTCCATATTCTATTCAGTCGTTTTAAATTTCAATACAAAACATCTAAAATCTTTTTCTTCGTCATAACTGATGGACATTTAAGATAAAATTGGTCATTAAATGTGAAGATTTCTAGATATATATATATATACATTCCTATATAGTTAAAATAATTCTTGACCACTGTGTCGCACAATTGAGTAAGAGATGAAAATTTGGAAAATTAAAGATCTTAGTTAGATATGTATATGATAAAAATATCAGCATTCTACGTAAAGAAAAAGTATGAAAAAATGTCATTAACAATTTATTCTCAGTTATTATTAAATATTCCTTATTTGACATCTTAGTACGATTTATTGTTTCTCTATTTTTGATAGCTTAATAACCATCTTGGTCTATCTAATGTAAATGTTAATAATGCTCAATTTGTACCTGTGGCTATAACTGAAGATAAAAAGAAGCGAGAAATAATGCAGAAGTACAACGAAAATATTGTTTTCTTCTTACATTTCTTGTTTTTTCTGATTACAGTTTAAATCTATGTGAAAATGAAAACACAGATACCACAGGCGATCTCTTTATCCTTCATCTTTCGACTGAATATCCATTGAATTATACTATGATGGCACATCAACAATACTTGCTCGATAAAATGAAAATCGACAACAGTTCTGCATATAAACAATTTAGTCTTCCCATTAAATTCATTAATGGAAAAACACTTAGCATAAAAATGAGCTTCTGTTCATTTGACCAAGTTATATCACCAGGTATGAATGATTCTCTTGAAATAGAAATATATATCTACTATATATATATAAAAGAGACAACAGAGAATTTCAAAGAGAAAGAAAAGATCAAAGATTTCAAAGCAAAAAGTATATATGAATTTTTCATTCAACGATGGACATGAAAGGAATAAGCATCATAAGACAGAACACACGATGCATAAAATAGATAGAAACTGACTCTTCTAAACGTTATGCAAAGAAGAGAGAAGAAACATATCGATACATCTATATTTTATAGTATCAATACAGGCTACTGGTATTCAAAAGCGAAACTCAAAAGAGTTTGCCTGCACTGGTACAATCTGTTCAATATCAAAATTTATTCAAAGTCAAAATTGGAATGAGAATATCATTTTCAATGGTACAAACAAAAATAGATTTGGTCCTTGCCAAGGTGAGAAATAAAATGCAAGCAATTTTAGTCTGTTGGACAGAACGGAACTTTTGTTATCTAAAACAACTTATTAGAATTTATCAGATTTATTTTCTGAAAGAAGTAGATCTCCATATTTTCCTTGTTTTCATATAAACATGTGTCATTTTGCTAATAAAAGATGATTGTAAAGAGTTCGATATCAATCTCTAAGAGATACTATTGCATAAGATTTTGAGAAATGTACAATTCTAATTAACTTAAACATTTAGACATGTATATCGAGTATTTCAGTTCTTTCTTATATAAATATCATAGCTAATTGAAGCGTCAATAGAGTAGAGAAATTTCGTTGAGGTTAGTTCAAGTGACATTCTGTAATTTTGAGTCGTATATCAATGGAACATTTCCATTAGATATGTAAAAATATCAATAAAAACATTATATTAATTGATATGTTTAGGTGGTCTTTATCCTAATGATGATAAGTGTGTTGCGTACACATATGGACCTGATCCTATTCAAGTTATTGACTGTCATCTTCCCAAAGGTCCTTATGCTCCTATCGTAGTGCTTCTCATTCACGGTGGTTTCTGGAGCGCTAAGTACAATCGTTCGCTGGAAGATGCCGTAGGCAATGATCTTCTTCGTTTTAATATTGTTGTCTGTAATTTGGACTATCGTTCTGTTGGAAATGGAGGTAATTATCCGAATGCATTCTATGATGTGTCCAATGGTACTGATCTTATTCGAACAATTGCTCAGGAACATGGTTTCAACAGTACTCGAGTGATCGTCGTCGGTCACTCAGCTGGTGGACAATTGGGAGGCTATATCACAGGACGCTTCAGGTTAATACCAAGTCAACCTGGATATAGCACGAATCCTCTTCGCCCTATAGCTTTTGTCAGTCAGGCGGGCGTCAATAACATGTGGGATGGATGTGATCAAGCTAACGAAACAGGTTCTGGTGCAGTGATTTCATTTCTGGGCGGGACGTATCAGATGTATCCGGAACGATATCTCCTGTCGTCGTTGGCGGCTTCAAGTAATATTTCAGTCAGGTTTGTGTAGACCTCTATGATTTCTTAGTAATGAGAATTCTTGGAAAAAAACGAATTCCAATCTTAATAAAATTTCTTGAAAATATCTGATTACATAAAATTCTTTAGCAGAGAAATAAGTGACAGCCAATTTTTAATGTTTGTCTTATAAAAATGAAATAACAATTCCGACTTGATCTACATAATTTTCTATAAAATCATGCAGAAAGAAAATAACTTTTATGAATTTAAAACTAATTTCATTCATTTAGAGCACAATATCCAAGTCAATTTCTGCCATTAGAAGTACCAATACAAGCTATAACTGGATCATTAGACATCACTGTACCTGTCAGTCAAACAATAACTTTTGCTGAACAAGCCAAAACTGCTGGTGATAATTGCACTAGAGTGATTGTTGAAGGTGAAGATCATTTTGTTCATCTTAATATTTCTTCAAAGTCTTGGAATATGACACTTGCTTTCATCTTATCTTTTATTCCATGAACCATAAATCAATCATTACGTATAACGATAGACTTTAGAAAAGTGAGATAAAATAATATTATATTATTCTGATGTCGTTATAAAGAAAACGTACATGACGTAAAAAGGAAGAAAAAAAAATGCTTTGCTTGTTGACATGATAACATCAGTCAAATCATATGTTCGTTACTATTCGTTCATTGTCAATTCGTTGAAAGATAAAATACCTGTTGTTCTCTTCACTCAAATATGTACACATACTGAATAGAGCTATACGATACGCATTGATATCAAACTCATATTAATACAGGTATCATGTCTACAGGTACAAAGTTCATCAATACATATCACAAGAATTATGATATTGTGCAGTTTAGATTAAACTTAAATTGATAAATATGATTCATTGTAATTGATTTATAATGAATAAATATGATATTTAAGGAAAGTCAACAACAGTTATGTAACGATATGGTGAAAAAGTATATATCTAACTCAAAATAAAATTGACTAATGTAGTGCAACGATTCACAAAACTATTATTATTCATCATCTGTAAAGTCGAATGCATAACATAAATTTTATTTGTTCTGTTATTATTTGCTCGATTACTTTGAATTTTATTAAATTGAAATTTTTCATAATATAAAGACATGTATTTCTTTCTATACTAAATTATGTATAAAGTAATATAAATATGCCTTTCTATTCTGAATGAATCGAATGATAATCTTGAGTTCAAGAAAAAAAAAACAAAATAAAGATATATTAAATTTATCAAAATAGTTATGACGATTTCGAATGCATGCTGAATAAATGTGGAAACCTCGGATTTAAATCCGAGAGTTATGTGTACTTCAAAAAGTGAATGAGGCAGATGAGTCATCCTAGAATGTGGAGACATAAAAATTATCCTGGCAAACTTTTTCTATAAACACTTGATTTCTATTGGCTACTGCTCAACCAATAGGATTTGGGGTAAATACAGCTCAGATTTGAACTCTTCGTCTTGATTTACCCTAAGAAAGTCTTTTTTCCTATAACTTGATTGCTATTGGTTACTGCTCAACCAATGGAATTTCGAGGCGAATGGAGCACATATTCGAGTTCTCCACCCCAGAAAACCTCGAACTATCATCTGTATGATCGGAAGATAGAGCTCTAATTGTAGATCAATTAGAGCGTGGACAAGAACAAAACCAAATTCCGTTTAATTATCTTTGCAATAGGTGAGTTAGCTTTCTTGTTTCTTTATGTTTTATATACCATTTTGTAGCTCGTGAAATTCTCTATCGAATGGTATATAATAGTTGGGGTTTTATTTAACTATGATAGGAAAAGTTGTTTACGAAAGCTGGGATCGGTCGATTTTCGCATAGGAAGCCATAGGGAAAAATGACTATTTTTGCAATAACTCACGAATGGCTCGGTCGATCATGCTCATCTTCGAACTCGACCGAGATATTGTTAAGACTAAACTGTGTAGAAAATTTCATCGTGATCGGACTCTCCTTTCAAAAGTTATCGTGTTAACGGCCGGACGGCCGGACACACTGACCGATTCTAGAGTGTACTCACTTTTTGAGTACACAAAAATGAAAGTATTACCCATGTCGTTCAAACTGCTCGAAAACCGGCGGTTCTCCTACATAATTTTTTTTTGTATTACATCTCATCGAATATTGTTTTAACTCTTACAAAATTGTTAGATTTTAGTACAAATTGTGTTTTTCTCTAGACGAGAGCACGCTGAAGTCACTAGTATCAACCACATCAGTAGAGTACGGCAACTCGCGGGTCGAATACCCATACCCGTACGAGTATGAAATCTACAGGTATGGATGCAAAAAGCTTTATGCGTGTACCAATCTACCTACTATCGACGACCTATTGAGATCACTCAGATGAAGAAATGATGACGCATCCAGATGATACTGATTCTTATGGATTCGATGAAATAAATAACTGCATGAAAAAGAAATTTTTTGTCTCAAAAAGATTCTAAAATGTTATAGTGGTGGTAAAACTTATTCACTTGTTTATAAACAACTATATCATTTAGCTATGGTTTCAGTATAAATTTCGGCAACTAATAAAAGAATATTTAGTGAAACTAGGTGAATCCTAGAGACTATATGACTCCCATCATTTTCTAACATGCCACTCTCGTAGTTTTTCGTAATTGTTTATTCAAGTTAGGTAAAATAGTAAACTGATATTCCGAATTTTGATCATGGCTACGATATGAATAGGATTGATTTCGGGTATTGAGGTAGGAGCACGGGTAAAATTCGGGTACGAAAGTTATGAGTACGAGTTGATTAATCCTTGTTCGGGTCGAGTACGGTTACAAAAAGTTGTACCCATGCAGTACTCTACACATTAACTAAATTCGCTTAGTTTTCAAGTTTGATTTTTTTATTAAAAATGGCGCCACAAAACTAGCTATCCATTAGATTACTTAATCAATAGAAAAATGAGTGATGCCATCTGACATAAATTATTGTGGCGCATTAGTACGAACATTTTTGAATTGTAATCGATTTTTTCAAGACTGAAAATAATAATTTAGGAGGAAAATTTTAAAAAACTTAATAAAAAATGAGAAAATCATTCGAACCGTCGATTTTGAGGAAAAACCGACGTTGTAGGTAATTATGTTGGTATTTTTATTGAAAAATTTTGTTTGAAAACAAAGAAAAACTGCATAAATTGTTTTGATTAAAAAATATCAGCTGGCCAAAATGTTGCAGAACCTTTCGAATAAGCTGTTATGATCTTATCGATTGTTTTTTTTGGTAGTCGAATGTTACGTATCATCATATTAACGTTATAATCTATTTTTATTTTACCAGCCCATTGTTCCAATTCGTCAATGGTCATATATTGAGGTAGACCATGAAATCGTATTATATTTGTCTGCTGCTCTTGTCGACGATAAATCTCTTCAGCTGCAATTTTTAATAATTTTCTTTCAACGTCAATATTTGGTGCTCGCCATTCAGATACATATATATCATTAATATTGTTTGGTTTACTGATTACAACATAACCCAATTCTTCTTCACGATATATATAAATAATAGCTTCATTCAATTGCCAATTCCAACCTACAAAATGTTCAAATACAGATGAAGGCGATCGATCGAATTGATATTCTCGAGGATTTTTCGTATGTAAAGCAAGTATTAATTCTTTATCTGATGAAAATATTTCAGATGTTGAACACCATTTCATTTTATTCATTGTAGAATCGAAGTTCTTCCATTCGATAGTAATTCTATGAGGCGTATTCATTTGTTCCCAGCCAAGAACAGAATAATGATTATATTGTCCAGTACCCAATATTGATAAACCGAATTCTTCATTTTGTTCCATTCTCTTAATGGCTAAACGAAGTAGATGTCGTGAGAATCCTTGATTTCGATAATTCTGTAGAGTAGCTACATTCGAAATACCACCACATAAATATTTGATACCATCGTCACGAGATTGAAGTATGAAACGTCGAATATGTACGGCACTAACCAGTTGTCCATCATACCATGCCCCGATAGTGTCGCCGTATTGGTATGTTGGAGCTGCTTCACTGTTGAAATCACGTTCGAAACATCCTGGATTATGTGTTTCAAATACAGAATACCATAAATTAAGAGCTTTATCTTGTTCATCTTTTTCAATAGGACGATAAACAACCGAGAAGTTTTCATTTATATTGCACGTCATGATTTATGATGATGCATATAATCTTATCGCAACTAACTATGATTCACAAATTATTGGAGAACAAATGAGAAAAAGAATACTCTCGTTTAATAAAATAACTATGCAGCACTCCATTTAACTTCAATAACATAATCAAATTTGTAGACTGCGGTAAAGGTGCTGTCTGTCTAGTGGATCGATTACAAATTATCCTTCATACTAGTAGAGGTCAGTCTGATACAACTCAATAGGGTCATTGTCAAGAACTTTCAAGTGAAATTACATTCGATTATATGATTAAGACTTTATTCACAGGAAGTCTTTTAGTTTATGGAATAAATATTAGCTAATTATATTAATATACAGGCCGATCCAAAAGTAACCTGCCACTCTTTGATTACGAATAACTTTTGATAGGAACAAGATAGAGAGGTGCACTTTTCACCGTTCGAAAGAGGAGATAAAGATACATCGGACTGTATTATTATATAAGATAATTTGACCTAGTTTTTTCAAGGATTTAAACCGACGTTTTTGAAAATGAATGTACTCCGTAAGATGGCTATACTGAATTTTTTATGATAAAATGTGCATTCGAACTGTTAGTCAAAAATCTACAAAACTGTGCAAAGTCCAGATTCTGAGAATTACTACTTGAGAAATTCTATGTATTCTACTCGAAATTCTGAGCCAATTTTTCTATCAATTTCTGTGAAAAAATCACTTTTTTTGTGTTTATCTTATTTTATAAGAAACCATTTTTCCGGCAATTCTTTTTTAAAAATTGATTAAGAAGATATCTCAGAACAACCTATGATGCATGATTCGATGCGTCTTCATCCCCTCTTTCGAACGGTGAAAACTGCGATTCTCTATCTTGTTTCTATCAAAAGTTATTCGCAATCAAAGACTGCCGGCTTACTTTTGAACCACCCTGTATATATTGACGTTACATAAAGATCGTAGCAAATCTGAAATAATTACTAACTTTTACTAAATCTCTGATTGGTGATTTTTAACAAAAAACTAATCGATGACAAATAAGAGAAAAGTAGATATCAGAGATAAACAATGAGAAATGTTATTTGACTAATACTAGTATTTTCCTAATTACGGTAACAGCAACTATTCGCTAAACCCTAACTATCCCAAGACAGTAAATTAATGAGTTCTCGTTTCTTATCTGTTTTTTCTAATGACAGCATTCAAAAGAACAGTTGATTCTATTTATAATTATTAGTTCAAATTCGTAGGATTTTTTTCCAATTTGTAGAAATTTTGAAGAATTGAAATTTATAATAATTTTAACACATAGATTTCAAAATGAATACTAATTTGAGATTCGGCACTTCTTTGTATATTTCTTTAATTTCTAAAACAAATCCATAACATCAACAACAATATGAAAAATCTCTACTCTTTTCTTTATAAGAAAAAAAATAAACGAAATAATCTTTGAAATGAACAAAATAGAAATATAAATTATTTCATTTTCTATAAACGAACTTATTTAGATATATGACAGAAAAAGTATTTCAAAAAAATCAGTACTGAGTGGTTTTTCAATAAATTTTTCTAATGGTAATAAAAACAAGACAATGTGATCCAACATGAAGATAACTCGATAAACATCCTTTCTATAAATGTTAATGAATCTTGATTAATATTTGTTTTATAAAGACAATTCTTTGTTGTACGATCACGTATAGTTCGAGTTTTAAAAATATCATATGGATTCACTATTGTTCTCATTAATAACTCATTAAAACTACTTGCAATATAATATATTTATGAATTATCTTGAAAATAATTCAAATGAACCATAATTCGTTTAGTTTGATCATACGAACTCCATTGAGCACGTTTTCATATAGCTTTACGAATAACAATTGGTGCTTCATCATCATATAAACCATACATTCTATTTTCATATTTTGTCGTACGATAAAATGCATCAAATGTATTTTTAATATGAATTTCTATGACGTAATGAGTATGATTGAGAATGATTTTATTTAATAAGATCAGTTGGTGTTGTAAGAAAACTTCGAATATAACCTAATCTAGCAACAGCAACTAATTTTAACCAAAAACTAAATTCATTTTTTAATGTTCCTCAATATTGTTATACTTTTCATTAAACCTCGACCATAATATTATTCATGATAAATTGATTGTATTCTATGCCATGCTCCATCATATTGAGCATCTACACTGTACTATTGGATTTTTTTTAAATTTTTTTACAGGTAACTTCAATTTTCGTTTCTCTTAAATCCTCAGTTTTGAAAAATCGACTTTTTCACTAAAAAGTATTTTGTACAGAAAGGAACTCTCGGCAGTGCGTCTATGGTTTCACTGAAGTAACAGGCACAAATTTGTTGAATATAAAATTTTGAAAATAAGTGTCTGTTTGGGAAAACAATCGGCTCGAATATTTTTTTGATATCTTCGAAAATGAACTTATAGAGGTTAGCAAATAGCCTATTGGTTCATCATTCAATCTAATTTTTTTTGACTTTTAAAAAATTCGTTGACCAGTCTCGAACAAAAAATAGATACAATATTTCTAATTCTATTTTTGGCTTGTCTGAGATGTTTTCAAGCAGATCAAAATGGACAACCATTTGCATCAGAAATTTTCGCTCATACTTTCCGTTCAAACATATTTTATGAATCCTTCAAAGATAACCCCCCTATGTTATTCACACCGCTCGAAAACCCATGATTAACCACGGTTCTCCAGCTGAATTCTTTTTTACTCTTACAAAATTGATAAATTTTGATCGAAATCACACCCTCTCTATATTGTCGATATGCTGAAGCCACATCGCTCATATTCGCATAGTTTTCGAGTTTGAGTTTTCATTAAAGATGGCACCATAAAAAAAGTCATTCGTTAGATGACTTAATCAATGGGAAAATATGTAGCGACATCTGACAGAATTTACTGTTACATAATTAAGTCAATTTTTAAAGTTGGAATTGACTTTTTCAAGACTAAAAATATTAATTTAGTAATAAAATAATAAAAAAAAATGATAAATAAAAGAAAATCGAATCTGATCGTCGGTTTTTCTTAGAACCGTCGGTTTTGATAAAAAATCGACGACATGAGTCATTGCCCTCGAATAAAAACTGAGATAAAATATCTAAGGTAATAGTTCGAAAGTGCGCAATATGTTGGTCCTAATTAATAACTTTTGACTGCTCGAAAATACTTTGAAGACAGACCAAATATAGAGAAATATTTTCTCTGAAAACTTTCGACCTACCCATTATATTGAATCATAATATATAACCAATAACAAATTATTCAAACATGTAGAGATTTTCTTATTTATTTTCTTATGGAAAATTAATAATGAGTTATGATACAAACATTAATTTATTTTTAATAGAAAAAAAATTCGTATCTATTAGACCCGAAAATGTTTAATGAAGTATCTTTTATTTATTCAATTGAATAAAGAGATATATATTTTATCTATTATTATAATTTCATTAGTCTTTTTATTTTATTGATTATTTTTCAAAAGTTGAAAAAGTTTGTTTTATTGAAAGTAAACAATTTTTACTTCTACTTATTTTTTTTTTTATACACAGGAATAACATAATTAGAAAAAAAGTCTAATAACCAATATGTATGTATTTTAATACATAATTTAAAAATGAAATCAATGAAAATCATAAAATGAGTTATAACCATTTTTTCCATTTAAAAAAAGTAATTGTAAATATTCCACAAGCTCCCAAAATAGCTAAAATAAGAAAATATCCATAATACCATTTTAATGGTGGAGAATTGTTAAAATTCATTGAAAATAATCCACAAAAAAATGTTAATGGAATAAAAATAATCGATACTAAAGTAAGAAATGTCATTATTCTATTCATTTCAGCATCATTAAGTATAACATAAAATGATATTAAACTTGATAATAAATCACAATATGTATCAATACGATCATGTAATAATATAATATGATCATTAAGATCTTTAAAATACATAAATATATATTCATTAAATAATGGAGCTTTTTCTTGAAAAGTTTCAAGTGACCAATGAGGATTAAGAGAATCAGAATTTGGATTAAAAAAATAATATCCAGATAATGTTATTCGTTTTGGTCGTTTTTTTCTTCGATATTGTCGTCTATATTGAACACTTTGATTAGTAAGAGATATTCTATCTTGTGCTTTTTGTAATTTAATAATAATTTCTCTTAATGGTTGACATAATATTCTAAAACTTAACATATCATGTTTAATATGATAAATTAAAGCAAGTGTTTCGGAATTAAAATGATGTGATGAAATATCAACATATTTATTTTGTTTTAATTTATTTAATAATAATTTATCAATCATATCAATTTTCGTACTAATCCGATCAAGTACAAACATATAATTTTCAATAAGAACATCAATAAGACAATAAAATAAATAATCGGTTTTTAATGAACGTATTCTTCCACGATTATTTTTTAAACGATTTTTAACTATTTGAAATATATCAATTGATTTTAAATCATCTTTAGCTTCTTGAAATGTAATTAAAAAATTATTTTCTTTTAATAAAAATGATATTTGTTCTTGATTAATATGTTCTGTATCAGGATGAACATAAATCATTTTCATTAATAAATAAATTGATGAACCATTATCAAGTAAATCAAGTTTCATACGTTCATTTATTGTATATATATCTTCTTTAGTTAATGCATGAAAATTAAAACGATTTGATAAATCATCAAGAATATCTGTTCGATGAATACCTTCAATATTCATCCATGTACAATAATCTTTACTTGAACATGATGTTGTTGCAAGAAATAGATTTAATTCTGATAAACAATTAAAATTATGTTCTGTATAATGTGATTCATCATATTGAATTATATTAAATAATATTGGACGATTTTCTCTATTAGTCATTAAATTTAAATCATATTCATCACTTGCTAATCTATGATTATGAAAACGGATATGCATTGATTTTAGCTTTTTTTTCTCTTGTT